AATCCACATGAGACTTCATATGACGCCACAAATCAAAGAAACAGTGACGATAGACTAATGTATAAATATCTGGTTGAAGTCATCTCTAAACTAGGTAAGTCATCAGTCACGATGACTGTGTAAGTCATCAGTCACGATGACTGTGTAAGTCATCAACCACGATGACTGTGATGTCAGGGGATTGCAGTCAAGCTGGGGAATTTAGCTATCATATACTCGATAAATAACGTTACTGATCCAATGTTGTCATAAGATTACAGTACAGTCAAGCTACGGCTATCAGATACTGGATAAATAACGCAACTGATCCAATTTCTGTGTTGTTTCCTTTACGTGCCAGACTCGCTGGAGAAGATTTTTGAACGATGCCGTGGGGTGCCCATAGGCCAGGCAGAGGTGTTCCCAGGTGGGGACTCTCAGCAGGACGGGGTGGAACCTGACCCGTATCAAAACAGCAGAGAGAAGAAAGAAATTCGCCCAATCGTCATAGAAGTAGGGACTGAATTCTCCGAAGATAAAACAGATGTAAGTGTTGAGTAAAAGTAGAGTAAATCTACTCGTATACGTGCATACACATAAACACAGATACACACATATATACATAACATAGAGCAGGGGCGGAACTATAGTGCCGCCAGACCCCGCAATGCGGGGGGGGGGGGGGGGGCACGCCAGTTAGGGGCCCAGAGCCGAACATTAATAAAATATTTATAGTTAAATAATTATCATTAAAAATTAAAAAAAAAAACACGTTTTCTGATTGAACTAAAAAGTAGAAAATAAATGCTTTTCATCACAATAATGCAAGCGATCACTCTACTATAAGCGATCGCAAACTGCGTGCGCATTACGACAAAAAAATGAAAAACGTGGGGCGCCGTGATTTTCTTACAGTTTCTAATACTGTTGACTCTCTACAAGCTCCCTAATAAAACTCAATAGTATTATCTAATCAATAGTAATATAACTTTTACATCTTATATTAACAATGACCGATAAAAAACTTTTTACCACTGTGAAAGCCGAGTCTTTCTCCTACAATTAAACTTATCAAAGATAAGCAAATGTTCAAACCACTTCCATGACTTATTTCCCTTTTTTAAAATAGTCAAATAGGGGTGTTCATAAGCTCCTTTTAATAGATTTGTACTAAACAAATTAAAAAGCTATTATTTCTCTTAACTACTTTTTTTTTTATAAAGTAATTACTAAAGAATGACATTGTATAAAAAAATCATAAAAAAACGTTTTAATAACAAGCTTTTATGTACTGATGCACTTAAAAGTAGAAAATAAATTATACACTACTATTTAAATTACTATAAAGAAAAGCGTGGGTCTCTTCTCAAATATTAGTAAAGGTATAAAATATGTACTAAAGTACTAAAGTGACCTACGCTTTTCTTTATAGTAATTTAAATAGTAGTGTATAATTTATTTTCTACTTTTTAGTGCATTAGTTTATAAAAGCTTGTTATTAAAACGTTTTTTTTAATGATTTTTATTCAGTACTTTACATGTTTTATTTACAATAGTGTTACATGACTAAAAACCATTGCGCGTCTATTGAACATGGTAGCGCAGCTATTGAAACTGATGGCGCAGCTATTGAACGTGATTACGCGTGTGGTGTGGTTGGATAGACATGCCTACTAATTCGGTCCAAATTTTAATTAATTCATAAAAAATTAATTAGGCATCCAATTAAGTCAAATTTAGTTTCAGATTGCATTGTCTTCATGTCTTGACCCACGTGCCAACTGTGAATCGTATCGGTCAAGTAAAACTGTCCGAATTGTCACTCCGGCGTTTCGATCTAGATAGACTGACGACAGACTGACGACTGACGAGGAAGTGAGTTAAACAAAAGCTTGTAAAAAGGAAATGTACTAAATCACAAATGTTTTCAAAAATTAATAATAAAATCACAAAAAAAAGCAACATAAAAATAAACATAACACTAGACACCGTTACTTAATACAAAGCTTTCATGTTTTATATTATTTTTACCGACTAGATGTTAAGGGGGCTGCTGTCAGACATTACTTAAAACTGATTTTCCCAAAACACACTACTGCACTTACACACATGACACGATGTTGAAATTCTTTTAAATGGTTGCTTTTAAATCCCGAACAGGCAAGCAATGAGCATCCCATGTTCGTATTTTGTGATTGTATATATATATATATATATATATGTATATATATATATATATATATATATATATATATATATATATATATATATATATATATATATATATATAGGGGGGCTATATATATATATATATATATATATATATATATATATATATAAATATATATATATATATATATATATATATATATATATATATATATATATATATATATATATATATTTCATATATAGGCCTATATATATATTTATATGGGGGGGGGGCTAAAAAATATTTTTTTTGCGGGGTGGCCCTATTTTCTAGTTCCGCCACATAGAGAGGTATATATATATATATATATATATATATATATATATATATATATATATATATATATATATATATATATATATATATATATATATATATATATATATATATATATGTAACAGTTAAATGTAGATGAATGTATGTTTCGAGTGTGTATCTTAAAAAGGCGATATGAATATAAAATATAGGATGGGTGTGCGCACGCGCTAAGGAAAGGAAGCAGAGAGAGGTAGGGAGAGCGCGAGGAGATGACGAAATTGAAGTCGTGGTTCTAGTAGTGTAGCTGCTATATTATCTGATATCAATAAATACTGTAAAATCACCAATAATGTGGTTTGTATTTGCCTTTAGTTTGTGCCATGAACCCAGTCATACAAAAGGGCTGTGACATTTTGGTGTCAGAAGTGAGCGGTGCTCCGCACCGTAAAGGAAAGAATTAGATCTAGACTTAGTATTGTTGACATTTTAGTACCTGAATAACTTTTCTTGGACCATTAAGAAGGAGGACTATGCCAAATTCATTGAGTTGGCCGATTCGTTAGGATACACTGGGGCAGAAAAGGCTAAATGGGTTGAAAAGAAGCTGATGCAATTGAAAGGGAAGACAGAGCTTTAGAGAGGGAATTAGCTAAAGATAAAATAGAGGCTGATAAGGAACTAGATCTAGCTAAAATAGAGGCTGAGAAGGAAAAAGTTAAAATGGAGGCTGAGAAGGAAAAGGTTAAAATGGAGGCTGAGAAGGAAAAAGTTAAAATAGAGGCTGAAGACAGAGAAAAACAGAGACAATTAGAAGATAGAGAAAAACAGAGGCAACATGAATTAGAATTAGCTAAAATTAAAAGTAACCAATCTCAAGACAGCAATGTTAACAAAATGGACAATTGGAAGCCTAAATTCAGAGCATTTAAACCACAGGAAGAAAGTGTGGAAACTTACTTACTACTCTTTGAGCAAACATGTAAGAGTTTTAACTATTCATCTGCTGGTAAAGCACAGGCTTTATTGACTAATTTGACAGGAGAGACTATTGCCATAATAGCAAGTATGTCTGAGGCTGAAAAAGAAGAGTATGACCTAGTAAAAGAAAGATTGATGAAACATTTTGGAAAGACAGAGACTATTACAGGAAGACTATACGAGACGCCAGAATTAACAGCACTGGTGACATAAACCAGATCATTTTTTATATTCGCAAATGCATGAATAAAAGGCTAGAATTGGCAGAAATAGATTTAAAGAAGCCTGAAGCAATTATTGAACTTAACCTGATAGATCATGTTTTAAATAATGCAACAGATAGTTTATTCACTTTTTTGAGTGAAAGAAAAGTTAGGACACAGAAACAATTAATAGAGCAACTTAATATTTATAAGGATGCACATCCAGGGGCTATTTTGGACAAAAGAGAGCAAGGAGATATTTCAGCAGCAGTTTACAGTAGAAACTCTGGCAGGGATCAAAGAAGGTATGACAACAACAATAGAGATAGAAGTAATAGTGCGCCTACCAGATGGAAACCAGACAGATATAAATATAGCAGAAGCACAGAGTGTTACCACTGTGGGAAAACAGGCCATGTAAAGTCTGAGTGTTTCAGCTTACAAAATAGATATACATATCTCAGTAATAATGACAGAGGAGGTTATGCACCTAATAATAACTACAGAAATCAAAGTAATTATTACAGACAAGGACAGTATAGTGGACAAAGTAGTAATGAGTCCCACAATCAAAGTAGACGGCCAAGAATGGGACCAGACAATAGGGGAGAAAATAGAAATAGTAGCAATAACAATCAAGAGACATCAGCAGGGGTAGAAGGGTCAGAGACAGTGGCATCTGTTACACAAAGCAATACAACACTGAAGATGTTCCCAGCTATAGTAAACAACACCAGAGTAATGTGCTTGAGAGATTCGGGTTGCACATGCATTATTGTTAAGAAAAGTCTTCTAAAACCAGAACAGTACATTCCTGGCATAATGAAGATGACATATGCCAACAAAAAATTTAAGGATGAGTGTGAGATAGCAGTAGTTGATATAGATTCTGCTTGGCTGAAAGGTAAATATAAAGTGGCGGTCATGGAAGAACCAATAGCAGATATGATTATTGGGAATGTAAAGGAGGTGAAAGAAAGTAATGAGGAAGATATAGATAGATGGGCAAGTCAAATTGGAGCAGCTGTTGAGACAAGAACACATAGAAACAATAAAAGAACTACTAGAAAGAATGAGGAAAGAAACTGCACGTGGGAGTACATACAGTAGAATTCTTAGGATTTAAGGTTGGAAATAAAGAAATTAGACCTACTGAAGGAAATAGGGACACATTATTAAATATCAAAACTTCTAGTACAAAGAAAGAAGTGAAATCATTGTTGGGACTATGCAATTTTTATAATATTTTTGTAGATAAATATGCTGAACTTACTACTCCTTTAAGATTTTACTTTCACGCTTTAATATATAACATCAGTTATCATGCATATATAACCTGGTTTAGTGGATGTAACAATATAATTTTTAACCACTTTAGTTGTATCACCAACCTCAGCAGTTTAAAAAATTTATTTCATTGATTAGCTCTACACATTCCTTTTTGGCTAACAAAATCTGTTCCTTTTTATGTTGTGTGCATTGGTACTTAAGCATCGGTGATATAAGGTATAGCTACCACCACTTAGTTTGTTATTGGGCCTTGTATTTTGTTAACTGATGTTTATGAACATAACAGTTGTGTATTTCTTTTACACTTTATATGGTAATGCTAATGGATCCTATTGTTGTTTAAAGTTGTATTCAAGTAACAGAGCTAAACTATGTGTTTGAAATTTTGACTTGGTAAATATTGCTTTAATAAGGAAAATGGATTTGTCTAGGAAAATTATGTCAAGGAAAGCTAATCTGTAAAGGGACAGCACAATAAACTAGCTGATTTCTTATCAAGACAGATTGAAGATGAAAAAAACAAACATGGATCTGACTAAAGAAAATAATGACCTGAGACATATCAGCCATTCCTTATAAGAAAATTTTGAATAATGTAGTATGTGATCTTTACTTCCAGAGAAAATTAACATTTTAAAAATGTGAGCAAGATAGGAATAAGTCATAACATGACTTGTATAAATATGTTTTACCACTATTTTAATTTAGTAATGAAAATGAACATACATTTTTGTTGTATTTCTGTGATTTGTATGTATACTGTATATCTTGTTAAGTAATGAACATGATTGTGGCAGTATGATTTGACAGATGTGGTAAGTTACATATGTTATGATGAGGAGTTTACCTCAGCCATTGAAGTAGGGAAATCAAGGATATGATTTGCCCATGGGAGCTATTGCATAGCTATAATTTTGTTCTACTAAGAGAGAGTTTTCCTTAGTTAGATTTATTTTGAGATACACTAAGAGGTAATATTCCTTAGTGAGGTTTAATGATATTTTTTGTTACACTAAGAAGAGATGTTCCTTAGTTAGAATCATTTGTTATTATTAACTAAGAAGGTTTACCTTAGTTACAATTTTTCTTAATGGCGACACTTATAAAATAAGTGACGCTTTGCAATTTGCCATGTATTGTATGAATATCATTGTTTTAATTTGGTAAGTGTACATATAAAATAATTTAGGATGTTCATTAGCAAGTTTCTTTTTCAATATGATTTTCATTTAACTGTTACATGTATAATGAAGATTTTATAGTGAATATATAAAAAAAATTAATGAATTAATTTTTAAACGGGAGAAAGGGCGTATGTAACAGTTAAATGTAGATGAATGTATGTTTCGAGTGTGTATCTTAAAAAGGCGATATGAATATAAAATATAGGATGGGTGTGCGCATGCGCTAAGGAAAGGAAGCAGAGAGAGGTAGGGAGAGCGCGAGGAGATGACGAAACTGAAGTCGTGGTTCTAGTAGTGTAGCTGCTATATTATCTAATATCAATAAAAGACTGTAAAATCACCAATAATGTGGTTTGTATTTGCCTTTAGTTTGTGCCATGAACCCAGTCATACAAAAGGGCTGTGACAATATATATATATATATATATATATATATATATATATATATATATATATATATATATATATAAATATATAAATATATATATATATATATATATATATATATATATATATATATATATATATATATATATATATATATATAGGCAACGTACGTTTATACATACATACAAACGTAGACACACGTATTTACAAACAATATAGCATATACCTATGCCATAATCACATACAGATGTCTGCATATACATTTAAGGGAAAGCTCATCAACAGTGCTTTTGGAAAGGGGAAATCTAAAATTCTTCGGAGCCTTTCGGACGATACTTACACCATCTGCACCCCTGAAGACTGGAAACATAAGGTCCAGTCTTTTACTGGTAACAACTAACCTGTTTAATAGCTTATCACATGTTACATACAACGAAGAGTGTATACAATGTTTAGCGCTTTTTTATTTTTTGTTATACGAATTTATAAAGGGGGCGGAAAGGGCGAAGACTATGATTTCTGCTTGCATTTTGCACACATTTTGGTATAATTTTATTTTAAAGAAATAAATTAATAGCATACCTAGCGGGAGTCTAAATAATTACGACAATTTTATTACACATATGTCCCTTTTGTTCCTTATGGAACATGGGGCCTCCACCATTTCCTTCCATTTCTTCCGATCCCCGGCTATTAATTTTTCCGTCTCCCAAGACATCCCTGTTGGCTTCAGTTCTTCAAGAAGACGTTAGGTCTGTCTTGGGCGCCCTCACTTCCGCTTTCCCTGGGGGTTCCACTCAAGCGCTTAGCGTGTCACATTTGGGTGAGCCTTTCGCATTGTGTGACCCACGTAGTGTCACTTACTCCATATTTGTACTGTCATAGTCTCCTGCCTTGCTTTTCTCCATAAGTCTATGTTCGGCACTTTGTCCTGCCACCTCAATTTCAAAGTCTGTCTAAGGCATCTGTTCATGAAGGTCTGTATCTTCTATGTGTTTGCCTTGGAGACTCTCCGTGTCTCTGTTCCATATATCAAAATATATCAAAACTGCCTTGACATTTGAGTTAAGCATCCTGATTTTTTGTTGTGTTGGAGACGGCAACATTTTTCCACATGGGTCGCAGAACTGAGAAAGCGCAGCGGGCTCTATTAATTCTAGCACGTATGTCCTCCTCTGTGCCTCCCAAATTACGACAATTAATGTCTAATTAAAAGTGATAACAGACACATAATTAGCTAAAGACTAAAAGTGATAACAGACACATAATTAGCTAAAGACTAACAATATTTACGATACTTTTAGAGCTATGTTTTCTGTTTGCAGAAAGACTCAAATATCAGCTTGCCCTGGTCATGACGGAAAGAGACTTGAACTCTTCTGTACTCGTGTTCGAGGTTAATATTTTTAGTCCAAATACACAGGTTTACATTTACCATTATACGTCTGGCGATTGTAAAGTAAAAGCCATATTGTTCTTAAGGGGGCAGTATCACCCAGACTAAGGGAGGGAAACAAAAACTATCACCAAAAAAAAACTATTTGACATACACATGTCAAAATTTTACAGCAGTAGTAACGTTTCTTCTGCTATAATACAGTATATAAATTGTAGGGTATATGTATGGCAATAAATTTTCAAAAAATTATTTTGTTAATATTTTATCACATTTTGATTTTTTTGTAAACAATTTTTCGAAACCATAAGTAAAGTACTTAAAATTTGGTATAAACATTCCTTGCGTTAATGGCTATGGCCGGAACTAAAGTAATAGTATTCTAATGACAGATAAAATTTTTTAGAAAATTTCAAAGTTCAATTTTTTTGGTCTAACTTTGAAAAAATTCTAAAAATTTTAAAATTTGTCACAATGGATATCTCCTAGTTCCGGCCATAGGCTACCCAGTCATGCATCCACTAGAGTATTTTCAGCAGGATGGGCCTAAATGTTGGTAAACCACAGCCTAAAATTACTTAGTAAATATTTTTTGGTAAAATTATTTATAAAAAGTGTTTGCATCATACGTTAACTTTCTTTTATGTGCTGTTTTATAGCTCCTTGATATTTACTATTATGGTAAAAAATTTATGTGTGTAGGTATAATAGTTTTTTTTTGGCAAATTTTTTAGTCAATTTTCAAATGTCTGGGTGATACTGCCCCCTTAACTCTTTTGGACTTCCTAGCTAGAGTTCTCAATTATAATCAAACTTATTTTCTCTGTTGTTCATAGCATTCTAAAGAGGCTGATTATTTAAGAACAACTTTTGAGACTATTTCTAATGATGAACCAATGTAAGTAAAACAGACATTTCTGTACTACAAGAGTTAGTAAATAGACATTTCTGTACTACAAGAGTAAGTAAATAGACATTTCTTTTTTGTACCACACAAGTAAGTAAATACACATTTCTGTACTACAAGAGTTAGTAAATAGACATTTCTGTACCATACGAGTAAGTAAATAGACATTTCTGTACCATACGAGTAAGTAAATAGACATTTCTGTACCAGAAGAGTTAGTAAATAGACATTTCTGTACCATACGAGTAAGTAAATAGACATTTCTGTACCACATAAGTAAATACACATTTCTGTATCATACGAGTAAGTAAATAGACATTTCTGTACTATACGAGTAAGTAAATAGACATTTCTGTATCATACGAGTAAGTAAATAGACATGTCTTTACCATACGAGTAAGTAAATAGACATTTCTGTAACACTTAAGTAAGTAAATAGACGTTTCTGTTCTACAAGAGTGAACCATATACTTCAGCTAAAATAAAATGTTACTAGAAAGGGTGGGGGTGGTGAGGGTGGTAGGGGTGAAACTAACAAAAAAAAAACAACAACAACAACGCTCATACATTACAAACAGGTTACACCGTCACGATTCACACCCATCTGTACACCATCCAACTCCCCCTCCCCACCCCTCATCTCTCTAGCCCAGACACCACCGCCGAAGCTCCTATAACTGTAACCGTCAACGGCGAGTCGGTTCAGGCGGACGTCCACCCGTCGTCCTGTCGAGGCAACCAGGCTGAGATGCTGCAGCAGATTTTGAAAGCTGTCATCAGAGGTGAGTTGATGAGGCAGAGTTATCTTTCCTTGACGTGTGCCAGCGACGTCATTAGTGTAACGTTATACCAGCAATGTTATACCAACGACGTTATATTAGCGATGTTATACCAGCGATGTTATACCAGCGATGTTATACCAGCGATGTTATACTGACAATGTTATATCAGCAATGTTATACCAACGACGTTATATCAGTAATGTTATACCAACGACGTTATATCAGTAATGTTATACCAACGACGTTATATCAGCAATGTCATACCAACGACGTTATATTAGCAATGTTATACCAACGACGTTATACCAGCAATGTTATACCAACGACGTTATACCAGCAATGTTATACCAACGACGTTATACCAGCGATGTTATACCAATGACGTTAAACAAGAGACGTTATACCAGCGATGTTATACCAACGACGTAAAACAAGAGACGTTATATCAGCAATTTTATACCATCGACGTTATATCAGCAATGTTATACCAACGACGTTATATCAGCAATGTTATACCAACGACGTTATATCAGCGATGTTATACCAACGACGTTATACCAGCGATGTTATACCAACGACGTAAAACAAGAGACGTTATACCAACGACGTTAAACAAGAGACGTTATACCAGCAATGTTATTCCAACGACGTTATATCAGCAATGTTATACCAACGACGTTATATCAGCAATGTTATACCAACGACGTTATATCAGCGATATTATACCAACGACGTTATATCAGCGATGTTATACCAACGACGTTAAACAAGAGACGTTATATCAGCAATTTTATACCAACGACGTTATACCAGAGACGCTATACCAGAGACGTTATACCAGAGGCGTTATACTAGCAACGTTACGCCAGCAACGTTATATCAGCGACGTTATACCAACGACTTTATATCAGCGACGTTATACCAACGACGTTATACCAGCAACTTTATACAATCGACGTTATAACAGCGACACACATTGACGTTATACCAGCGACGTTATGCCAGTGACGTTATATCAGCGACGTTATGCAAGTGACATTACACTGGTGATGTTTTTGAGATGAACCAGCATTGACCAACATTGCATGAAATTGTAGTAAAACAAAGATATATAAATACATGAGTAAAACTTGCTTTCTTAAAAAAATATACAATTGTATAATATTTATTCAGGACTATACTAATTACCATCTAAGATAGTGAAAGTTCTATTTCATTGCAGTATTTTGTTATTTATTTAAAATTATGAAACTTTATAATAATTTTTTATCAAATTGCCTTATTATTTCAGCAATTATGTCAAAACAATTTAGGAACCCAGATGTTTCGGTGAGTTTGTGATTTTACTGACATAAATATAAATCAACGTCAATGATTTCTCCTATTTCTTTGTGATAGTTTGGTTAATCATGTGACAAGAGTTTCTTCCAGACATCGCTTCGGGGGGGGGGGGGGGGGGGGGGGGGGTGAATCCCCCCCCCCCCCCCCCGAAAAAATTCTACCGCCCCCCCCCCCCCGAAAATTTCAAGTGCCCCCCCCCCCCCCCGGAGAAAAAAGTCTGGAAGAAACACTGCATGTGACTCAATTTTCAACCTTCTTCTAATGCACTGATATCGTTCAAACTTTCCAGATATCTTCTTGAATGACAATGCAAGGATATCTAACTTTTAGTCTTTTAGATATTAAATCTTTCTTCTTATTCGTTCTTAAGTTTTAGTGTTTGAAGGGATCGAGCCTTATCTGCTAGAAGGTTTGAACTCGAGACTTTTTTTTTCGAATTTATCAACCATGTGCTTTTGTCGACTCGATCACGCCTCCCATCACAATTAAGGATACGTGTCAACTGGTTAAGCGCCATTGAGGCCATTGACTCCGATTTCAGCCTGCTTTTCTTTTTGGATTTGCTTCCATAGCCTTTGTCCAACCAAGAACAAACTACAAGGCAGCAGTTGTTTGATTTTGGAGTTGTCTCTCCTAGAAGAGTGGCCTGTCCCCAGCTAACGAGTCTCATCCGCCCGAGGGTTTGAACCATGAGCTTTACCGACACGACCACGCCCGACCCCCGAGATATTAAATTAGTCAGAACAATTTAATTGAAAGATTATTAAATTCGATAATAAAGGGAGATAACTAGCTTTATAAACTAATCCGTCTGCTGTACTGTGTTCACGCCGAATGTTCGGTCTCAGTTCGCTGACTTTTTACTTTCTCGTATATAAATCTTGTAATCGTGCAAAAAAAATCGAGATTTTTTAAAATCTCGACTTTTTAAAGCTCCTTGAGTCGGAAAAACATAATTTTGCAATCTTGTCCGTATGTCTGTGTGTGTATGTGTGTGTATATGTGTGTCTGTTTGTGTGTCTGTAAACACGATAACTTGAGTGCCGTTAAAACTAGGTTGATGAAATTACATATATAAGTATTATATCAAAATCGTAGATACGTATCAACTTTTGAGCGATTTCCGATAAACGGAAGTGGAATTTTTTCTACTTTGAATTTTTCAAAAGCCTATAACTTGAGTACTATTTCAGATAGATAAATGAAATTTCACATGTTAATAAAAAATCTAATTCCCAGCCTTCTGTGAAATTTTGAGTAATTTCTGTTGACAGGAAGTAGTAATTTTCTCTATTTTAGATTTCTCAAAAAAAAAGCATGTGAATTTATAAAGTAATACTAATATTCCGCACTATTATGCACATTTTATTTGGCGTTTACTGGTGTGCAATTCTTTTTTTCTACGAGATTTTTATTCTACTAGGCATGCTGCCCAGCTTCGCTTAGGCTTTCGAAAACATTGAGAATTTGAATGCTTAATTAGTTTAAAAAGTTTAAGTATTTAAAATGGATTAAAATTTATGTCTATATCCCGAGTTATTTTTTTTTATATAAATATTCGAGAAAGCTTAAGGGAGATCGCTCCCAGTAACACCCAAAAATGTGATTGATTGTACTTACTTTCCTACATACATATTCCCAAAAATCTAAACTTTACTTATGGCTTGATGTTTTAAGTTATTTTATAATAGTATATTTCAATTTGGTGCCACAAAAAAGATTTTAAGCTCTGTTTGTATAAAATTATTATATGTTAGATTTCCGAAACAAAATGTTTTATTTAAGATAATGAGAAAGATATAATTTATAAAGTGTTCTGATTTAAATTAATGACTTTGATTATTTCCCTTATTTCTCTTTTATTTGGCGTTCACTTGGTGTGCAATTTTTTTTTCTACAAGATTTTTATTCTACTAGGCATGCTGCCCAGCTTCGCTTAGGCTTTCGAAAACATTGAGAATTTGAATGCTTAATTAGTTCGCCCGAGGGTCGGTCTACGACCTCAGGAGTTATGAAGAGGTTCCTACGTGGACATTTTTTTTTCGATTTATAGCTCATATAAGGCGGCGGTCAGTCGAGGTCAGTTTGACCCCCTCATCGTAGACTTTCTGCCAACCGGCCCCCTTGTTCTGTCGCCCCAAGTCAAAATCCTGCCAAATTTGAAGCGCCTGCGGCGCCGGGAAGTGCACTGTCGGGCACATGACAACTTTGCTTTATATTTTTTAGATATTAGCAAATTGCATAGATAAACAAAGATTTCAATAAAGTAATTAAGGCCTGAAATACTTTAGTGGAGAAATGTATTATTTGAATAGATTCTAGATCTAGGTAGGGCCTACATCTGTGTAAGTCGAGTTTTTCCGTATATCTAGATCATCTAGATCTAGATCTAGAATCTCTAGATTTAGAATCCTAATAGAATTTTTTTTTTTAAGTTTAGCCCGAGCAAAATTGTTTTGTATAAATTTTTGTCGCGTAAGTAGATCTAAATCAAATTTGAATGAAATAGTTCATTTCTTTTTATTCTAAACACGGCAGATGACGTCATTAGTTAATGTATAAACATTAGTGACGTCACTGTTTTATGCATTCTTTATCACATTTATAAACGCTTTTCCTGTTGCAAAATTAAAAACTGTTTCTCTACATTCGAATACGCCTTTATTTTTTATTTTTCTTCTTTAAATAAAATTGTGGTTATACGTTTAAAAAAACTAACATATTATTTTCAACAAAAGTCCGTATAAAGGTATCCATATATTGCTGCCAATTCTGACGTAATATCCGGCGAAAGTATTTCGCGGACAGACAGAGAGAGAGAGAGAAGTGCGCACGTGGTCTATTATATATTAGGATTTTTTAAAAGTTTAAGAATTTAAAATGAATTAAAAATCATGTCTATATCCCGAATTGTCATCCCCCGTTGTTTCATATAAGAATATTCGAGAAAGTTTAAGGGAGATCACTCCCGGTTTATTTGCCCGAGCGTCGATCACGAACTAAGAAGTGGCAGATAACTCTTTTAACTGTGTTACTGGTCGAGTAGATCTTGTTACCTCCTCTTAGTTTAAAATCATTTAAAATCATTTATCTGGCCCTCATAGCCTTCTCTAGATCGACAGGCTCAACTATTGTAAACACTCCCGTGAACCACAACTCACCAGACTGTTAGGGTGGTTGCGTCTAGCTATTTATCTCCCCTTCTGTTATCGAATATAATTATCTATGGAGTGATTTAATTGTGTTATCTCCCCTTTGTCCCGAAACAGTTTAATTAATTTTAATGACTAATTAAACATCTAATTAAATTAAATAATAAACAGACTTGCATTGTCATCAAAGTGAAACGTATCTGGAAAGTTTGAACGAAATCGCCGAATAAGAAGTGTGTAAAAAATGAGTTACAAGATTTGCCACAAACCTACAAACTACAAAAAAAAAAAAAAAACAGACGTTGCGAACAAAATAATAGCTTTTAAAATCGCTTTAGTTCCTAAAATATGTAAAAGATCTCATGAGTGACCGATGCTTGTATTAAAAAAACCCAGATTGTTTTAATTTCTGATTTTCGGTGCACTTTAAAGCTTTTAAAATGTTTTTATATTTGTTTTATTATATTGTAATCTTATAATTGATTTTTATTATTGTCTGAAGTTCGTAGAACAGCATCTAAGCAATGGTTGAATGCTCTTTACTTTAATTAACTAATTGCTTTTTTTTTCTGAACAACATCAAAGTAATGGTTCAATGCTCATCACATTAATTAACTAATTTCTTTTTTGTCTATCGACAGCGGTGGGAGGAAAAGCTTGTTTGTCTTTGTTTACTCCTGGACGAGCTTAACGTGGCCATCGATGAAGGTTTAATGCCCAGAGCGATCGAAATTTTTGTATGTTTTCTTCAGATTTTTTCTCACACTTTTAGTATGTTTTCAGAATTTTCTCGAATTTTTAGTATGTTCTGTTCAGATTTTTCTCACATTTTAGTGTTCTCTTCAGATTTTTCTCACATTTTTAGTATGTTCTCTTCAGATTTTTCTCACATTTTTAGTATGTTCTCTTCAGATTTTTCTCACATTTTTAGTATGTTCTCTTCAGATTTTTCTCACATTTTTAGTATGTTCTCTTCAGATTTTTCTCACACTTTTAGTATGTTCTGTTCAGATTTTTCTCACATTTTAGTGTTCTCTTCAGATTTTTCTCACATATTTAGTATGTTCTCTTCAGATTTTTCTCACATTTTTATTATGTTTTCAGAATGTTCTCGAATTTTTAGTATGTTCTGTTCAGATTTTTCTCACATTTTAGTGTTCTCTTCAGATTTTTCACACATTTTTAGTATGTTCTCTTCAGATTTTTCTCACATTTTTAGTATGTTCTCTTCAGATTTTTCTCACATTTTTAGTATGTTCTCTACAGTTTTTACCTCACATTTTTAGTATATTCTCTTCAGATTTTTCTCACATTTTTGTTAAAAAAAGAGGCCCTGATAGACAATTACGTATTCCTAAAAGTAACTCACAACAGAGTAGAAATAACGAAAAATTAATGCTGAGGTTGATAGATTATACAGGAATATGAAGTCGCACGTGTGTTTTGGTTTTTGAGTGCGTTATCTTACCACACTTTGTACTCTTGCTAAGTAAACCTAATTTTGTTGCAGAAGCATCGCTAGGTTGAGTGTCACCCAGTGCGCCCCCTCCCATCCCCATTTTTTTTTCTTCTCAGTAAATGTTGCTGTTGGTCTCACATCCCCCCCCCCCACCCCCCACTCACCCGGTCAAAGCTTTTAAGTGTTCACATTTAATACTAACGATGTTAATCCATAATTAGTTGTTAATGCATCTGGATATAGCATCGTTTACTCTATAGTTTGCACGTTTATGTCACGGTGTCAACCCCCACTCCCCTTGTCGCGATCGTCATTATGTACTTCAATACGTTTGAACTCTAATCAACCATTCATTGAGCTGGCAAACACATTTTTATTATATATATCTTGTAATTTTTTTTAAATCTTGGTGTCACCCGGCGCGGTCCGCACCCCCCCCCCCCCCACCCACCGCCCCGCATCGCAACGCCTCTGCTTTGTTGTCCACTTTGGGAATACAACGTTGTTAAAGTTAGTATTACTGGATCCTCACCTCGGTCAGTCCTAGTGAACAGACTCAGGTCTAGGTTTGCTAACATGAAACAAGGCACTCCGTTAACATTTACATCTTTTTCGTAGTTAGATAAAAAAGAGGAACAGAAAGTTACGATTGTTGATGAAATTCTGAAGTTTGAAAAATATGTAGGTAAGTTAACAATATATATATATATATATATATATATATATATATATATATATATATATATATATATATATATATATATATATATATATATATATTATTCGAGATAATAGTAAATAAATTTTTAAAAAATGTTTATGAATTTAGAGAATCCAATTCAAAGTTTTTAAATTTGAAAAGATTATTTTAAAATTCTGAAAGTACGATTGTCAAAAAATATAAACTTAGTTTTGTACTTTGTTGTGTGCTAGACAGTAAAGACTTCGTGCAGAGGTTGTATTTAACATCCATTTTGAAGAGAGACATGGAATGTGCTATTTTTCTTTGGATGAAGCTTGAGGTATGGTATTTAAAATAAACTTTCTCGAATATTCTTATATAACACTACGGGGCATGGCAACTCGGGAAATAGTCATGATTTTTAATCCATTTTTAATTGCTTAACTTTTTAAAAATAGAAAAGAATCTGATAGAAAAAAAAACTGCTCACCAAGTGAATGGCAAACAATGTGTGTATAATAGTGCGCATTGCACTAAAATAACAAGCTTATTCCGAGCTGCATTACAGTCGAATTTAAGAAAATAGAAAGCTACTTGTTTCTATGGACGGCTTTCTACTTTGCTTGTGGGATACGGGGAAAAAACTAAAACGGTGACTGATGTGTGTGTGTGGTGGGGGAGGGGGGGGGTGAATAAATATAAAAAAATAGGGGGGGGGGCGCAAATTTAATAGGTCGCCCAGGGCGCCGAAATGGGTTGCTACGCCTCTGCTCGTTTAACCCTGATTCAAACCCAAATCTTTCGGGTTAACAGTCTAGCTCTCTACTGCTAGGCCACGCCATCCCATACTGCCTGCTGTGACAAACTCAAAATTAGATTTAAACTTAAATTTTAATTAAATCACTACCAGAAACCAATGTGTGTAAGATTATTCAAAATCTATGTATACCTTTTAATATGTGTGTATAAAAATATATTCCTGTAGGGTCACATTCCTGGAGCTTTGCTAGCTGCTGGTTACAATTATCAAAGGTTTCAGAAACAAAAAGATGAGAGGTAACTCTCATTTCCTTCTTTTCTATTGTAAATAATCGTAGATTTATTTTTAAGGTGAAATGAAATTAAATATTGCAGGTAACACATTTTCAAGAACATTCTATCGAGGCAGTGTTAATGTAATGATGGTGGGTGGGGAGAGAGTTACCGACAGTTGCTTTAAAATCCGATTAAATTTTGTTTGTTGGCACTGCTAGTGGCGGTTTTAGCATATTCACAGTTTAGCTGCACATGAAGAACACTTGTGATGGAGTATATTTTTATGTGTGTTTATATGTGTATAGGTCTGTATGTGCCTGCATGTACACATGCAAGTATTTATGCACGTATCATTCTGAGTCTGTTTCCACACGTTACTCTATATTTGTAAGTATGTGTGCCCATAATGTGTGTATGTATGTGCTTTTATGCGTTTAGTTTTGTGTGCATAGGCAAGTGTCTGTATGTGTTCATGTCCTGTGTGTTAACATTTTACATGAATTACGTACAGGTATGTGTGTCTATAATGCATGTCGGTATATGCATATATTTGTATATATATATATATATATATATATATATATATATATATATATATATATATATACATATATATAATGTGAAATTTATACATTTCTATCACCTAAATCCAGTGACAAAGAGTACGAAGAGCAAAAAGATGAGGACAGTTACGAGAATGATTTTCAGTGAGTTGCTGCGGTTAAAACAATTGAATACAGATGTTAAATAAATATTCACCCAGTGCTCGCATTGTACATATAAAGTACGACTACACTCTACTTTTGTCATTTATCAAAAAATTCCTTCCAGGTTTTTTACCCACCTTGCTAAGCAAGCGATCAACAAATGCTATGACAACAACAAGGCCTTGACCGTGGACTTCATTGGCCGGAAGTTCGTTAAGTGGGGCAACAAGAGCTGCTACGACCTGGCCGTAGACTCGGCCAACAGGAAGATTCTAGAGCTGGAGGCGGTTCACGACCTGAGTAAGAGAGTCTGGAAGGAAGGGGAGGCGTGGAACAAACAGGTAGGGCCGTGGATGTGTCCTTCTCCGTGTATCCAGGTTTAGATTATTGGGCGTGTACAGACTAAACAGTGGGCTTGTACAGACTAAACAGTGGGCGTGTACAGACTGAACAGTGGGCGTATACAGACTAAAGAATGGGCGTGTACAGACTATAGACTGGGCGTGTACAGACTGAACAGTGGGCGTGTACAGACTAAAGACTGGGCGTGCACAGACTAAAGACTGGGCGTGTACAGACTGAACAGTGGGCGTGTACAGACTGAACAGTGGGCGTGTACAGACTGAACAGTGGGCGTGTACAGACTAAAGACTGGGCGTGTACAGACTGAACAGTGGGCGTGTACAGACTGAACAGTGGGCGTGTACAGACTGAACAGTGGGCGTGTACAGACTGAACAGTGGGCGTGTACAGACTAAAGACTGGGCGTGTACAGACTGAACAGTGGGCGTGTACAGACTAAAGACTGGGCGTGTGCAGACTAAAAACTGGGCGTGTACAGACTAAAGAGTGGGCGTGTACAGACTAAAGAGTGGGCGTGTACAGACTGAACAGTGGGCGTGTATAAATTTTAAAGGCGGCGTGTTACTACTTTATAGGGGGGTTTACACACTATAAACCCTCTGGTGTACATTAAGGAGGCGTGAATACAACTCTAATGAGGCGTGTGCCTACTATCAACTGAATGAATACTTACTGTGAAGATAGCCTAATCACTCTGTACGTTGGGCTTAAGGACAGAATCAGCAAGGACCAAATCGAGTGGAATTTCAAGATACACATTGGTTTAACTCTTAAGACACCCAAGTCATTTAATAGACGTATTTGTAGGCCTATAATATCATGACAAAACAGTAACTAATTCGCTAATTCGCTATATCGTTATTCCAGATAGCTGCTAAAGAGGAAAAGAGCAAATATAAAATGGCATGTACCCCTACCTTTAACTCATTTATATATATATATATATATATATATATATATATATATATATATATATATATATATATATATATATATATATATATATATATAGTCTCTATGCGATCTTTGTACTTGACGAGCGATATGCTTAGTTTCACGTTAAACTCAAATATTATAATTACACAAAACACAGCCATTTAATACTTAGTATTTTGTGTTTGTTGCTTCAGCTAACAAATAAGCTGTCCACCCCAAAATTCAAGTTTTACATCGATTTCGTGAGTTTTCTTTTATTCACTTTTGCTCCATCTCTTCAACTTCTTGTTTTACTTTTGCTCCGTCATTTCAATTTCCTGTTTCACTTTGATTAAGCTCTTCAATTTCCTGTTTCCCTTTGATTAAGCTCTTCAATTTCCTGTTTCCCTTTGATTAAGCTCTTCAATTTCCTGTTTCCCTTTGATTAAGCTCTTCAATTTCCTGTTTCACTTTGCTCCATCTCTTCAACTTCCGTGTTCACTTTTAGTTCTTCAACTTCCCGTTTCACTTTGATTTAGCTGTTCAACTTCCTGTTTCACTTTGATTTAGCTGTTCAACTTCCTGTTTCTGAACATCTACGGCCTGATGTTGATGTTGTGGCTGGATGAGAAGACACTCCACATCACCGAGTCTCTGGTGCTGGTATGGAAGGTCTGCAACGGCATCTCATTGCATTACTTGGTAGGTAGCCTACAACGGCATCACATTGCATTACCTGGTAGGTAGCCTACAACGGCATCACATTGCATTACCTGGTAGGTAGTCTGTAACGGCATCTCATTGCATTACCTGGTAGGTAGTCTGTAACGGCATCTCATTGCATTACCTGGTAGATAGTCTTCAACGGCATCTCATTGCATTACCTGGTAGGTAGTCTTCAACGGCATCTCATTGCATTACCTGGTAGGTAGTCTGTAACGGCATCTCATTGCATTACCTGGTAGGTAGTCTGTAACGGCATCTCATTACATTACCTGGTAGGTAGTCTGTAACGGCATCTCATTGCATTACCTGGTAGGTAGTCTTCAACGGCATCTCATTGCATTACCTGGCAGGTAGTCTGTAACGGCATCTCATTGCATTACCTGGTAGGTAGTCTGTAACGGCATCTCATTGCATTACCTGGTAGGTAGCCTGTAAGGGCATCTCATTGCATTACCTGGTAGGTAGTCTACAACGGCATCTCATTGCATTACCTGGTAGGTAGTCTGTTCCGGCATCTCAATGCATTACCTGGTAGGTAGCCTGTAAGGGCATCTCATTACGGCATCTCATTGCATTACCTGGTAGGTAGCCTGTAAGGGCATCTCAATGCATTACCTGGTAGGTAGTCTGTAACGGCATCTCAATGCATTACCTGGTAGGTAGCCTACAATGGCATCTCATTGTATTACCTGGTAGGTAGTCTACAACGGCATCTCATTGCATTACCTGGTAGGTAGTCTACAACGGCATCTCATTGCATTACCTGGTAGGTAGCCTACAACGGCATCTCAATGCATTACCTGGTAGGTAGCCTACAACGGCATCTCATTGCATTACTTGGTAGGTAGTCTACAACGGCATCTCATTGCATTACCTGGTAGGTAGCCTACAACGGCATCTCATTGCATTACTTGGTAGGTAGTCTACAACGGCATCTCATTGCATTACTTGGTAGGTAGTTATAGAACACAGCAGGTATAGAAGGTCTTCACAAACAAACTTTAACCCACATTCTTGAGTCTTCACGGACTCGTTCACACACATACACGAACAAACACATTCACTTTCACACGTGTGTAATTATTTCGTAAAAATGACTCTCATTCAGTCTTTTCATATTTTTTTTTAAAAAGCCATGTTGATTATATAGAAAAACCATACATTTTCTTTAAACCATTTAATTAAGTAAAGGATCACTAAAACGCATAATTTTCTTTAAACCATTTCAGTAAAGGATTTAAATGCATACATTTTCTTTAAACCATTTCAGTAAAGGATTTAAATGCATACATTTTCTTTAAAAAAAATCAGAAAAGGATTTAAATGCATACATTTTCGTTCAACCATTTCAGTAAAGGATCACTAAAATGCATACATTTTCTTTAAAAACCGTAAATTCAGTGAAGTTTTACACACATGAAAACGTTTTCTCTAAATAGATCGCAGTCTCACGTAACAGCTTCTACAAATACCCCTCCAAAGAATTCAAAATTATGGGGTTCATAACACTGGTCTTGTACACACTGGCGACACTACTGCGCGCCCTCGCACTTCTGCCATCCAGCGACAGCAACCTGATGCCATTGTCCAGGCTGATCTACAGCTACGACTTTGTAGTCTGCACGGTCGAGATGTTGAAATATTGCTACGGCTCGCCTAACTTAGGAAAGGTCCTGGCAATGATGTATTCAATGGTAAATGTTGTTTGAAGAATTTTTTTTTTTTTTGTGGTCGAATGGTAGAGCACTTAATTGCAAACCCGAAAGATTCTAATTCGAATCCCCGGCTCGACCGCAAGGATTCCGAGAGTTCACCCAGCTCTGATGGGTACTTGACTCTCGTCATGAAAAGCGAATTCGGCTGGAATTGTAATTTAGGAGTCAATACTTCATTGGCTGTGAGAAAATAAATCTTAACAAGGTCTAGCGATGTAGGTAATTCAGTCATGTATCCATTTCTAAACAAGAAGGATCACAACACTATACAGACGGCAAGTGTTGATGTGTATCCATTATGCAGATCAAAAATAACTTTATACTTTACTGTTTATACTTTATTGCTATATTTAAGTGTTACTTGTTTAGTCTAAGTAAATAGGGTACATTGTAAGTTGAATTGCATTATATTTTCTGTAAAGAAGATGTATTATATCAATGTATTGTAATATATCAATGTATGTTGTATTATCTCAATGTATATAGTATTATATCAATGTATCACGTGTTTAGAAGAAAGAGGTGGCAAATGTACTAAAAGTAATTTGCCATTTGCATTCATTCTACAGACCTAATAAGTGGTGTAAATCATTATTCATAGTATGTAACAGTATGTATAGTATGTAACAGACAAAAGATATGATGTATGTCCTTATTGTTATGTGCATATGTCCTAACAGACCAAAATAATGTGTGTCCTTATTGTTAAAAATTATTTAACAGACCAAATAAATGGTGTATGTCCTTATTGTTGTATGTGTATGTCCTTATTGTTGTATGTGTATGTCCTTATTGTTGTACGTGTATGTCCTTATTGCCGTATGTGTATGTAAATCACAGACCAATGATATGGTGTATGTTCTTATTGTTGTATGTGTATGTCCTTATTGTTGTATGTGTATGTCCTTATTGTTGTATGTGTATGTCCTTATTGTTGTATGTGTATGTCCTTATTGTTGTATGTGTATGTCCCTCACAGACCAAAGATATGGTATATGTTCTTATTGTTGTATGTGTATGTCCTTATTGTTGTATGTGTATGTCCTTATTGTTGTATGTGTATGTCCCTCACAGACCAAAGATATGGTATATGTTCTTATTGTTGTATGTGTATGTCCTTATTGTTGTATGTGTATGTCCTTATTGTTGTATGTGTATGTCCCTTACAGACCAAAGATATGGTGTATGTTCTCATCGTCGTGGCTGCCTTCTTCGCGTCCTTTGCCGTGGCGTCAAGATCCGTGATGAACCCACAAGGCACTCTCAACGTCTGGTGTATCTTTAGGATAGCCTTCTGGAGCACGTTTGGGGAGATGGACTACGAGGAGTATTATCCTGGAGGTGAGTGCAGAGACGTAGCGAGGGGGGGGGGGGACATATGTCCCCTGGCGCCGACCTTAGGGGGCGCCAAAATGGGTTGGAAAAACCCATTGAGTGGGGGTGTAAATCGAAAGTTTGAGAGGCGGGGTTCAAATCGAAAGTTAAGAGGGGGGTGCAAATCGAAAGTTTGATGGGGGGGGGGGGGTGCAAATCGAAAGTTTGTTCCCGGGTGCCGGGAAGGGTCGCTACGCCTCTGGGTGTGTGCCTTGTCCTAAATCACTGGGCAATGTCCAAGACTCCAGGAAAGTTTAAAAGCCCCCCCCCCCCCCACCCACCCATCAATAAAATTTTCATTGTGCATATTTTTCTCCACCGAGTTCTGAATTTTACGCCTTGGTGTGAAGGAATGGTAAAATCGAAACATTGAAAAACAATTAAAACTAAAGTGAACGTACCATTCCCATGGGCCCACAGGGATTTTTCCAAAAAGACCGGCGGGCCAGTGAACACATGTTTGTCAATATTGCTGTAACAGTTAGAATATGGAATAGTATCCTTCTGTCAATATCAGAGTATGAAATAATATATTTCTGTCAATATTGCTGTTACAGTTGCAATATGGAATAATATCAATCAATATTGCTGTATCAGAATATTAAATGCTATCTTTCTGTCAATATTGCTGTATCAGAATATTAAATGCTATCTTTCTGTCAATATTGCTGTATCAGAATATTAAATGCTATCTGTCTGTCAATATTGCTGTATCAGAATATTAAATGCTATCTTTCTGTCAATATTGCTGTATCAGAATATTAAATGCTATCTTTCTGTCAATATTGCTGTATCAGAATATTAAATGCTATCTTTCTGTCAATATTGCTGTATCAGAATATTAAATGCTATCTTTCTGTCAATATTGCTGTATCAGAATATTAAATGCTATCTTTCTGTCAATATTGCTATATCAGAATATGGAATACTATCCTTCTGTCAATATTGCTGTATCAGAATATTGAATAGGATCCTTCTGTCAATATTGCTGTTGCAGTTAGAATATTGAATACTATCCTTCTGTCAATATTGCTGCATCAGAATATCGAATACTATCCTTCTGTCAATATTGCTGTATCAGAATATGGAATAATATCATTCCGTCAATATTGGTGTATCAGAAAATTGAATAGGATCCTTCTGTCAATATTACTGTTACAGTTAGAATATGGAATAGCATCTTTCTGTCAATATTGTTGTTACAGCTAGAATACCGTTTGAAACATTATCCTGGAGGTGATTGCCTTGCTTCCAAACCCCATGCATGACAATAATGTATATGATTTGCTGAGCTGTGGTTCATGCCGAATGTTTACAATCGTAGAGCCGGGTTGAATTAGTGGCGGCTAATAGGGGCAACTGTGATTTCTAGATCCAATGTTTTATAACGGTTCTCTTAACTGTGATTTGTTGTTTGTCCTCTAGAACTGTGATTTGTGTTTCCTCTAGAACTGTGATTTGTTTGTCCTCTAGAACTGTGATTTGTGTTTCCTCTAGAACTGTGATTTGTTTGTCCTCTAGAACTGTGATTTGTTGTTTGTCCTCTAGAACTGTGATTTGTGTTTCCTCTAGAACTGTGATTTGTTTGTCCTCTAGAACCAATGTTTTATAACGGTTCTCACAACTGTGATTTGTTTGTCCTCTAGAACTGTGATTTGTTTGTCCTCTAGAACCAATGTTTTATAATGGTTCTCACAACTGTGATTTGTTGTTTGTCCTCTAGACCTGTGATTTGTTTGTCCTCTAGAACTGTGATTTGTTGTTTGTCCTCTAGAACTGTGATTTGTATTTCCTCTAGAACTGTGATTTGTTGTTTGTCCTCCAGAACTGTGATTTGTTTGTCCTCTAGAACTGTGATTTGTGTTTCCTCTAGCACTGTGATTTGTTGTTTGTCCACTAGAACTGTGATTTGTTGTTTGTCCACTAGAACTGTGATTTGTTTGTCCTCTAGAACTGTGATTTGTTGTTTGTCATCTAGAACTGTGATTTGTTGTTTGTCCTCCAGAACTGTGATTTGTTTGTCCTCTAGAACTGTGATTTGTTGTTTGTCCACTAGAACTGTGATTTGTTGTTTGTCCTCTAGAACTGTGATTTGTATTTCCTCTAGAACTGTGATTTGTTGTTTGTCCTCCAGAACTGTGATTTGTTTGTCCTCTAGAACTGTGATTTGTGTTTCCTCTAGAACTGTGATTTGTTGTTTGTCCACTAGAACTGTGATTTGTTGTTTGTTCTCTAGAACTGTGATTTGTTTGTCGTCTAGAACTGTGATTTGTTGTTTGTCATCTAGAACTGTGATTTGTTGTTTGTCCTCCAGAACTGTGATTTGTTTGTCCTCTAGAACTGTGATTTGTTGTTTGTCCACTAGAACTGTGATTTGTTGTTTGTCCACTAGAACTGTGATTTGTTTGTCCTCTAGAACTGTGATTTGTTGTTTGTCATCTAGAACTGTGATTTGTTTGTCCTCTAGAACTGTGATTTGTGTTTCCTCTAGAACTGTGATTTGTTTGTCCTCTAGAACTGTGATTTGTTTGTCCTCTAGAACTGTGATTTGCGTTTCCTCTAGAACTGTGATTTGTTTGTCCTCTAGAACTGTGATTTGTTGTTTGTCATCTAGAACTGTGATTTGTTTGTCCTCTAGAACTGTGATTTGTGTTTCCTCTAGAACTGTGATTTGTTTGTCCTCTAGAACCAATGTTTTATAACGGTTCTCACAACTGTGATTTGTTGTTTGTCCTCTATAACTGTGATTTGTTGTTTGTCCTCTAGAACAGTGATTTGTTGTTTGTCATCTATAACTGTGATTTGTTGTTTGTCATCTAGAACTGTGATTTGTTTGTCCTCTAGAACTGTGATTTGTTTGTCCTCTAGAACTGTGATTTGTGTTTCCTCTAGAACTGTGATTTGTTTGTCCTCTAGAACCAATGTTTTATAACGGTTCTCACAACTGTGATTTGTTGTTTGTCCTCTATAACTGTGATTTGTTGTTTGTCATCTAGAACTGTGATTTGTTGTTTGTCCTCTAGAACTGTGATTTGTTGTTTGTCATCTAGAACTGTGATTTGTTGTTTGTCCTCTAGAACTGTGATTTGTTGTTTGTCATCTAGAACTGTGATTTGTTTGTCCTCTAGAACTGTGATTTGTTTGTCCTTTATAACTGTGATTTGTTGTTTGTCCACTAGAACTGTGCTTTGTTCTTTATCCTCTAGAACCAATGTGTAAGAACGGTTCTCACATTCCCTTTGTGGAGAGAACTTCAAAGTACATGATGTTGTTGTTATACGGGATCTTCGTGATCATCGTTAACCTTATGCTTGTCAACTTGCTGATCGCAAAGTTCAAGTAAGTGTTTGGTACTCACACATACAGACACACATACACACACACAGTGAGTATACACAACACTTAATATACATACTTAATTATGTATGTGTCTTTTTTTTACTCTGCATTTCTAAGGGTGATTTAAAGTTGCCTTTTGAACCTTACGTTTAATGGGGCAAGTGAAGTAGAGTTCACCTGGCATATGAAGGGATAGTGTGTTCAGCATTATGTCCTGCCGTTAATTTTTCCTTAACATGAGTTAGGTACCCATCAGAGCTTGGTGAACTCAGGCGCGTTCTATTGACGAACCCTAACTCGAACTCGATGCTTTCGGGTTAGTCATACCATTATTAAAAAAATACTACTTCATTGAATAAAATCGCCCCTTGAAAGCATCAGACTGAAATATTAAAATAACTCTTCCTATGGTTCTCGTGTTCAGCTCGTCTATAGAAGAAATCGACAAAAACTCCAAGAAACTCTGGACCAACGCCAGCATAGCCCTGGCTTGGACGTACTCCAACAACTGGCACTTCCCCCCTCCATTCACTGGCCTCACTTTCCTCAAAAAGATTTTGTTCACGGACAAGAAAAACATATTCGGTACGTGATTATCCAAGATTATCTTTCCTTCAAGTTCAGTAAATTCTTAAAGAAAATATTGCATGGTTTATTTTTTTGTTAGAGTTTGCATGGTTTATCTTACAGTTATAGGTTATCTCCTAAAACATGTTATGTCCCCTGACAGCCACGAACATACCGGGGAAAGACAAGGGAGAGTATGATTCAATCTATTTTACATTTGAACGCGATTCTCTTCATACATTCTTTGAGGATCTGAAACAAGAAGAAATGTATGTATACAATTTTTTTTTTTACAGCCGTCCTTTACTAATTATTTACATTTACTTCAAGCTAGAGCACGACTACAAACTTTAAGATAGATTGGAACAAACTTTGTTTACGTTGTGCTTTAAGTAATTTCGAACTGGATTAAAAACATTGATTTGTTTTTGTAAATTTAGTCATCGATTTCAAGAGGGTAGGCTCAGGAAAAAAAACCACACTTCTTAATTAATAATGTATTTATGTGTATGTAAGTTAGCGATGACACTAGGTAGGTCAAGTTAAGGATAGTATTCTGTATTCTATATGTAACAGTAATATTGACAGGAGGATAGTATGACAAAATATCATACAATTTTGGATTCATTTAATGTTATTTCACCATACCAGAATTGGAAAATTTGGAAACAAATTTCCTAGAGTATTTCCTGTTACAAAAACCAGCCAGCTGACTCTATTAGAGATAGTAAATAAACCGGGAGTGATCTCCCCTAAACTTTCTTGAATATCTATATATATAATTCTCACCCCACCCCCCACCCCTACATGGTCTTAGTGAGCTGTGTTCACTCTAAATGTTTACAAGCAGAGCCGGGTTTAGTGACGACTATTAGGGACAGATAATTTAGTTTGAAACGATTTTAAACGTAGGGGGGAGGTTATGGTCCTTAACGTGCTACTTATAGTGTTTTAAAGAAATATTTTCAGTGGCAGCGTTGGTACCGTCTAATTCACAAATTATGAATAACTGAAAAGTAGAAAAAACAACTAAATAGCGGCGTATGATATGCCGCGGGCCGGCTCGTTCTTATATAAAACAACAGGGGATGGGAACTCGGGCTATAGACATGATTTTTAATCCATTTTAAATACTTAAAGTTTTAAAAATAGAATAAAATCTCGTAGACAAAAGAATTGCACACCAAGTGAACGCCAAATAAAAAGTGCATAATAGTGCGCAATATTATTAGCACTTTAAAAATTTACATTAGTTTTTTGAGAAATCAGAAGTAGCGTAAATTACTACTTCCGGTCAACGGAAATTACTCAATCTTTTTACAGAAGGTAGAGAATTAGATTTTTTACTTACGTGTGAAATTTCATTTATCTATCTGAAATAGTACTCAAGTTATAGGCTTTTGAAAATTTCAAAGTAGAAAAAAATACCACTTCCTGTTATCGGAAATCGCTCAAAAGTTGATACGGATCTACGATTTTGATAAAATACTTATATATGAAATTTCATCAACCTAGCTGTAACGGTACTCAAGTTATCGTGTTTACACACGGACAGACAGACAGACACACAGACATACGGACAGAATTGCAAAGCCCAGTTTTTCAGACTGGATTACGCATAAAACCTCTTAATTTTGATAAATCTGGATTGATAATTTTTGCCCGATTAAAATACTTCGGATGTGATGAAGGATTGAGGTGTAATACGGTGAAAATGTTAAAATTTCAAATGATTTTTGTGCACGATTACAATACTTTCTCTATACTTCGTATATACGAGAAAGTAAAAAAGGATACATGAGTATATGATCAATATATCAATATATATGTTGTTAGAACACTGAGTCTGAGACCTCCAAAAAATGTTGCTTTTTTTCTAGAGCCTACACACCACTTATGTTATTAGCGAAAGCATCCAGTTACGTAAGCTTAAAGCATGATGAGCTTATATTCTACGTTAGGATTGTGTACATCAAAACAACCCAATCTCTACCTCTCTTGACAAAATAGACGATGATGCCCATATGTGGAAAAAAATTATTATCTCGTGTTAGTCATGTTGATTTGCTTTATTTTTAGCCATTTCAGTTGCTATTTTTGTATTATATGATCACATAAATTTTCTCTTCTTATTTCAGACTCAATAAGATGAATCCAGCAACCAAATGGACTGTTAAAATACACGGTTTGTAGTTAGCAACGTTACTAACAGAAGTATCATATTATATTATGTGTACGTGCGTGCGTCTGTCTGTCTGTGTATGGTGTGTATATATGTGTGTGTTGTCTCTATGTTGCTGTTTTATTTCTACATTTCCTGAAAAAGTGTTTCACTCAATTTATGTTAAATGATAGTTTATTACGTGAAATTAACGAACGTTAACTTTTAAGTTTAATTATTGACCACACAATTGAAACTTGCTTGTTTAATTTAGGTTCTTAACCTGGGTTTAATCGAACCCCAGGGGCTCAATGAGTCAGTGTCAGGGTTTCGGCTGAGGTAAAACACACACCCGATTCCTATGACTTGTTAACATATTTTGTCAGTACAGTCAAGGATTCAGAGAATGTGCATATGAAACTGAAGGGGTTCGGTACGTTCAAAAAGGTTAAGAACCACTGGAGTCGAGACATTTAATTTAACACCAGAACCCCGAGCTGAATCAGCATCGATTACTAACTGGACCAATATCTTGCATCTGACGTGTGTGTTTGATTGTTAGATTGACAACTACCGTGCAATTATCTAACGCATCTTAAACTTACAGAGACTTACAGTAATTATCTAACGCATCTTATACTTGCAGAGGCTTACAGTAATTATCTACAGAAAATGTTTGATGAGGTCGATCACCTCGACAGGTTTGAAGTTTTATTTCAAATATTTTTTTTAGTGGACACTTAAGTCGCATGTAAAACAATGTCATGTTAAGGTTATAAATTGCTCCTCTCAGTCCCTTGTTGGTGCTGTTATGATTTTCTGATCGCGATTACTTGACCCTCACCATGACCATAACACTAACAGTACCTGTGATGTTGGAGGAAAAAAATCAATATGATACAGTAGTGCTTTAATTATAGCCCAAATATAACATTCTCAATTAAAAATACTCATATATAGAACATACATCCCAATCGATTAAAATGATCGACAACAGAAAGTATATTCTAATATTTTAAATTAATATTTGAATTGAATAATCGAATAAGCACACAAACCACACCTTACTAAGTTAATTCTGTTTATTTACATATTCTATTTTTATAAATATGACTTTCTTAACTTTTATAATTTAAATACTATTTTACTTATATTTCTTTAAAATGCTTTTTAATTAATTACAAACGACAAATATATACATATATATATATATATATATATATATATATATATATATATATATATATATATATATATATATATATAAACGGCCCTCGTGGCTAATATAGCTAACATTAAATACATAAAGTATGTTATTATCATTATAAAAGTAACCACTTATGCAAATTAAAGTCCTACTCATATATATATACGAGAAAAATGGCCCGTTGAGGAAGGATACACCGGGCGCTAGGTTGATAGTGCTGTCTCTTTTCTCTAAACTAAAACCAACCCATCCCCCACACACACCTACCCCCAACCCCCAACCCCACCCACCCCACCCCCAGCCCCACCCCAGCCCCACCCACCCACCCCCACCCCCACCCCCCAAAAAAACATGTCTACCGTCCCATTCAACGAAATATAATTATATACTTTTTCCAGTGTCCGCCCCCTCCCCGAAAATTCTACCCCCGCCCCCGAAAATTTCAACTACCCCCACCCCTCTCCGGGGAGGAAAAAGTCTGAAAGAAACACTGGTGTTGCGCTTAGCCACTACGCGAAGAATTGCATTAAAGAAATTGCGAGAAAACCACTTTTTAGATTAGACACATTAATTAGGCGGTAATTTTATTATAGAGTATCGATGAAGAAATTTCTTTTGAGTTGGGGAGGGGGGGGGGGCTCAGACGTTCTTACGCGGGGGGTGGGGCTTCGCCCCTACCTGAAGAATTATATGCAAGAAACTCTTCACGAAAACCATTTAGATTAGACAAAATTTCCTTTTTTTCAATGTTTACGCGAGAATCAATGACGTCATATTACTGTGCGCACTCTCTGGTTTGAGATTATGTTCTACTCTCTGCTAAATGTGTCGACGTCATATTTCGTTTTTCGAATTACTGTGTATGTTTTTATTTTGCTTGTGTTTTCTCTAGAGCGTTCTTGTCAGACAGAGCGTTCTTGTCAGACAGAGCGTTCTTGTCAGATAGATAGACAGACAGCGAAACTATTAGTATTAATATATATATATATATATATATATATATATATATATATATATATATATATATATATATATATATACATATATATATATATATACCATACATATATATACCTAATACATATATATATAATATATATATACATATATATATACCATACATAAATATACCTAATACATATATATATATTTATATATATATATATATATATATATATATATATATATATATATATATATATTTATATATATATATATATATATATATATATATATATATATATATATATATATATATATATATATATATATAAATCCAGCCATGAAAACGAATCGATGAGATTGTCTAGAGCTCCGAGTGTTAACACAAGACCTAGTAGAAACAGTCACTACCAAAAGAAAGACAACACGTTGGTCAAAGGGACACTTGGTCTTGTCCCAGAGTTAGGTGCTGAAGGTCCATCGCTGAACAGATTCTCGCGTATACTGTTGAGGAACAAACAAAAGAAAAAGTAAAACGAAACAAGGTGGATTGCAATCTCACTGATGTATTAAGCTTATATTTTCTATATAAGTTGTATGCTTTTCTATTTCTTCTGGAAGGGGGAGGTAGTAGAGGGATGGTGGGTGTGCTCTAGATGGCATTGTCTTCCCCCCAAAAATGCCTGAAAGAAACTGCGTGAAAATATCGTAAATAAAATAGAAACAGCAAAGGCAATATGCAGCTTTGTTTATTGATATGCGTTAAGTGAATTTTCATTTACTTATTGTCTGCATAATTAATTTAAAATAATTTTCCTGTGTTTTTAAAGTTTATACATACCATATATTTTAATCTTGGTTCTTGTTTTTAAAACGGCAAAATTTGTATTTTAATTAGAGCAATCAGACAAGTTTACCTTTCTTTTTTTAAGAAGATATGTACAATGTTTAAGAATCTGTTGTTTTTTTAAAAAAGTATTATTGTTAGTCAACAAAAAATAAAATAATATAGAAAATCTATAAGCGAGGTTTTTTTTTTTAATTTAAAATATAAAAATGTTCACGAGGTGAATAAAGTTGTGTCTGATGTCAAACAAAAATGCTCTGGCACAGAGTAGGCCTACCTCAAAAGACCACTTAAAAGAAATCAACATCGATTAGGGTTGCCAGGTGTCCAGTTTTGAACTGGACAGTCCAGTATTTGAGCAGACTGTCCATGATAAAATAAATACAAATACTGGACAAGTATATGAATAATACTCTGTTACCCCCCCCCCCCCCCCTTCTTCTGCTTTGCGGCATACCTGAGAAGGGAAGGATGGAAAGGTGTCCAGTATTTTCGGAAAAGGTATCTGGCAACCCTAACATCGATTGACTTGGCGCCCTTACAGCTAAGACTTGGCGCCCTTACAACTACGCTTGACTTGGCGCCCTAACAGCTATATTTTTAAAAAAATTAAGTGATAGAACCAACATAAAATCAAACGTTAGAAATGTTACTTATTAACAATGCAATGATGAAGACCGTGCTTGTTGATGCTCTGTTGAGCACTGTCCTAGTTGATGAATGATGATGTAAATTAGTTAATTAACGAGCCAGGATGGAAACTAATTGGCTGTTAATCTCAACCGTCAAAATTCTGGTACAGCTGTCTGTGTGAAGACACGGGCTACATTAGTCTGCTCAGTTAGCCCCGCCACTGTCCCGATTAGGGCTTGTAAGTAGGTCACCAGCTTCTCGTTTCCGTACTTGCCAGTTAGTATTTTTCAAACCAAATGTGAATTTTTTAAAATTAAATCTGTAAAAAATATATATAGAAAAGTTACTTTGCTATTGTATTTAAAATTAGAAACAATAATAATGCTCATACTGGTAACTACAAAATGTCGGCTAGTTTAAAGAAAAATATAGTCTGCGTAAAATATGTTATAGAAGCGTAAGTTTGTTATTATTTATTTATTAATTATTCGAATCCGTATCAGGTTGTCCTAAACGAAATTAAAATATGAATGCAATACTATTCATCACCAAAGCCAACAGTACTTAATTTGATTCTATTATTAGTAAAATGTTTATAATTATTGCATTTTGGGTACTCATTGGTACTTTAAAGTCTTGGAGCGAGGTCTGGAAACAAATAGCCGAAAAGTTTAAGTTTTTTTTGTCGTCAAGGGAATCATGTTCACAAAATATTAATATAGTTCGAAAATGTATACCTCTCCCTGACAAACGAGACTTGAATTTTAAGTGTGAGGGGCCGAGATTTACAAAGCCTATTAAGTAAAAGGCCAGCAACTCATCTCTCAAAAAAAAAAACAAAAAAACTAATTACCTAACCTGACTGCTACGCCTTTCCTCCTAGGTGGCACGTCTATATTGGATGTTGAAATGACACATTACTAATTACAGGTCACTAATTACAAATAACAAATTAACACTGCTTGCTAATTGATGCGCATAGACTTGAAATTTTCGCCACGTAAACATATTTGACGAGGTCTGATGGAGTAAACACTGATTAGGTTAATGATTTGTGTGGTTAAATTATAATTAAAACTCATCTTTCCATCTGATGCGAAGTTCTTTCGGCGGTGAAGGAACAGCTATGAATCAAAGTAAGTCTTTTGACAACATTTAATGTTAAATATGTGTAGCGTAGGCAGGTATGGATAAGCTGTGACCAAGCGGCCTGGGAATTTTTAAAAAGTCGATCTCCCAAAGAACATTTCAACTGTGCATATTTTGTCTATGATAGCCTGGGAACCCCTGACTACTTCATAATAATGGTCATTTAACACATTGCAGTATACAATACAAGCAAAAATGATAAATCGGAAGTATAAAATCTAATCATGTCTATTACAGCAACGATCATGTAAGCTTTCTCGTTTCTAAAGTTAGAAAAAAAGTCAAGTTCCCTTTCAATCCTGACGGTGGGCAAGTGAAGTTTACCAGTTTCTGTGTGGACTCGACATATGAGGAGATGGTGTGGTCAGCATTAAGTCCATCCGCCTTTACTTTCGCTAACGTTAGTGGAATAAGGAACGTTCAACTGACTTGACCCGGATTAGAACTTGAGACTTTGGGGTTAGCAGCTTAGCGCTCTACGGGTTGGCCCTGCCGTCCCCAATCCTTCAGTTGCGAAATTTTTACCGGTCACTGTTAGGCGAGGTTTGGGGACTTGGGGTAATTTTTAATCCAACAAAAATTATTCTCATATTGTTTCTGCTAGTCATGTATCAAGCAATTTAAAAAAAAATATTTTCTTAATTTAATTTTTTTAAAAAGTTAAAAAAAAAAATTAAGTATTGTCCTTTGCTTATGCCTCGAAGTGTGTTTGCATGTGTGTATTTAGGTGGAAGGGGGGGGGGTCGTTGTGCAGCTTGACTAAAATAACATTGTATCATTCATATTGCATCTGATGACTGGTTTTATTTGCAGGCGTTCTTGTAGTGCTGATGGTGATGGCGTGTGTGTATTTGTATGGAGGGAGGGGGGTCGTTGGGCAGCTTGACTAAAGGAACATTGTATCATTCATATTGCGAAAAAAAAATGACTGGTTTTATTTGCAGGCGTTCTTGTAGTGCTGATGGTGATGGCGTGTGTGTATTTGTATGGAGGGAGGGGGGTCGTTGGGCAGCTTGACTAAAGGAACATTGTATCATTCATATTGCGAAAAAAAAATGACTGGTTTTATTTGCAGGCGTTCTTGTAGTGCTGATGGTGATGGCGTGTGTGAGCATCGTGGCGGGAACCTGGTGGGGTAAGAGAATAAAAATATTCACGTTTTTTTTTTTTCCTAGCCTAATACGCTGATGATGAAATCCTAATTAAGGCTTAGGTGTTGGCCTAGAATGGACCTGTGAAGATTTGTTGCAGGCCTGTTCAATTGTAAGCTAGTTCAGTTTTGTTATGTATCTAACTTTACAACCTCTACCTCTCCAAGTCTTTCCTTACACTTATTTGTGTGTGTGTGTGTAATCCATGCTACTTAACATTCCCATATAAACATGTTCCATATAAGTTTTCTTCACCCTATCCCCGGTAGGTGTGGGAAGTTTTTAATTTGACAATTATTTGACTTGTCCTATTAACAGTGAAGTCCAAATAATACACCCCCCCCCCCCACTGTCTTTTCGCCTACTGCACTTACTACAAATCCCCTCCTTAAAGTGTGTAAAGTCAGTCAATTATGACCATTTAGAACATACACTACCGCATACTAACCCTCCACCCCCTGTGTATTTAAGGGTGGCCGGAAAGAACCGCAACGGAAAAAAGCGCAACGGAAAAAAGCGCAAATCAAAAAGCGCAACGGAAATAAGCGCACACGGAAAAAAGCGCAAAGAGAAAAAAGCGCACACAGAATAAAGCGCAAAGAGAAAAAAGCGCAAACGGAAAAAAGCGCAAAGAGAAAAAAGCGCACACAGAAAAAAGCGCAAACAGAAAAAAGCGCAAACGGAAAAAAGCGCAAAGAGAAAAAAGCGCACACGGAAAAAAGCGCAAAGAGAAAAAAGCGCAAACAGAAAAAAGCGCAAAGAGAAAAAAGCGCACACAGAAAAAAGCGCAAACAGAAAAAAGCGCAAACGGAAAAAAGCGCAAAGAGAAAAAAGCGCAAACGGAAAAAAGCGCAAAGAGAAAAAAGCGCACACAGAAAAAAGCGCAAACAGAAAAAAGCGCAAACGGAAAAAAGCGCAAAGAGAAAAAAGCGCAAACGGAAAAAAGCGCAAACAGAAAAAAGCGCACACGGAAAAAAGCGCAAACGGAAAAAAGCGCAAACGGAAAAAAGCGCAAACAGAAAAAAGCGCAAACGGAAAAAAGCGCAAACAGAAAAAAGCGCACACAGAAAAAAGCGCAAACAGAAAAAAGCGCAAACGGAAAAAAGCGCAAACAGAAAAAAGCGCACACAGAAAAAAGCGCAAACGGAAAAAAGCGCAAACAGAAACAGAAAAATGCGCAACCAGAAAAAACACAACGAAAAATGTGCAAAAGAGAAATTTAGCACACAGACCATATGGACTAGATGACACATTTATACATGACTGTTAGGGCTGCTGTGAGAGTGTCGTGTTTGATCACGTGATCTACTACCATTTAAAGCGTACCACTACCATCTGCATTCCCATCACCACGATACAGGCGATAATCACTTTACACAATGCCTATTATTTTCTTGGTCAATAATTATTTAACTACTATTCTCGTATAAACATAAAACTATCGACATTACACGAAGTATCTTTCACATTCTCCCTAGTCCGAACTACCTAGCTTGCATACTATAACAACCCGTTCCTATGGCAAAACTTCACTCTCTTTCATCCGCGTCATCAAACATGCATTTGTCATATCTCTCGTAACAACATTCATTCGCACCAAAATAACAATTTTGTATTTAATATTTTTTCACATCATGACGCACCTACCTACCTACCTACTACCCACCTACCCACCTACCTACCTACCTACCTAACTACCCACTTACCCACCTACCCACCTACCCGCCTACATACTTACCAAACTACCCACCAAAAAAGTATCGGCGAAGTTCGTAAGTTTCGTAAACTGTACTAGACATCATTTTTTTAATGAAAATTCATTGACATCATTGACATATGTTACATATATGTTACATTTTGCGATAACCTTAATTAGTGCGTTGGGCTTGTATGAAAACTCACTTCGAACTAACTCAATTACATGCTATTTATTTTAACATTACACGGTAAGCGTCACCCAACTGTTGTGATGTGAGGTGAGGACAGGTTCGACAATAAACCAACACGAAAGTACGAAAGAGACATAGATTGCCTATTAGAGAATGGACCCCTTAACTTGCCTAACCCCACCATTTATTATACCCTACCTAACCTCTAAATTTACTGCGCTAAATGTTACTTCCCTCCCAATCGTTCCTATTCTACAGAATTGTGTATACTATTTATTTACATTCTTTAATCTCAATATAACTAAAATAGACTTTTGTTTGAAGGGTAATGAAAACATGTAAACAAAAGAAATTCGCATAGATTTAGAGTAGCGTCCCTATGTATCGTGGTGATGGGAATGCAGATGGTAGTGGTACGCTTTAAATGGTAGTAGATCACGTGATCAAACACGACACTCTCACAGCAGCCCTAACAGTCATGTATAAATGTGTCATCTAGTCCATATGGTCTTTGTGCTAAATTTCTCTTTTGCACATTTTTCGTTGTTTTTTCTGGTTGCGCATTTTTCTGTTTCTGTTTGCGCTTTTTTCCGTTTGCGCTTTTTTCTGTGTGCGCTTTTTTCTGTTTGCGCTTTTTTCCGTTTGCGCTTTTTTCTGTTTGCGCTTTTTTCTGTGTGCGCTTTTTTTCTGTTTGCGCTTTTTTCCGTTTGCGCTTTTTTCCGTTTGCGCTTTTTTCCGTGTGCGCTTTTTTCTGTTTGCGCTTTTTTCCGTTTGCGCTTTTTTCTCTTTGCGCTTTTTTCCGTTTGCGCTTTTTTCTGTTTGCGCTTTTTTCTGTGTGCGCTTTTTTCTCTTTGCGCTTTTTTCTGTTTGCGCTTTTTTCTCTTTGCGCTTTTTTCCGTGTGCGCTTTTTTCTCTTTGCGCTTTTTTCCGTTTGCGCTTTTTTCTGTTTGCGCTTTTTTCTGTGTGCGCTTTTTTCTCTTTGCGCTTTTTTCCGTTTGCGCTTTTTTCTCTTTGCGCTTTTTTCTGTGTGCGCTTTTTTCTCTTTGCGCTTTTTTCCCGTGTGCGCTTATTTCCGTTGCGCTTTTTGATTTGCGCTTTTTTCCGTTGCGCTTTTTTCCGTTGCGGTTCTTTCTGGGAACCGTATTTAAGTCACAATGCCCACAATGGCGTCACTAGATTGGGTGTCAGCTGATGTGGTAACTGAGGGTATTGACACCAAACCTCAACAAAAGTTTTGAATTTTCAGTTTGGTGTCACCTTTACCCCTTTACTTTTAATATGTTAACTGGATATTAGTTTTAACTGGATAAAACAAAGGTTTGACAGTGCATTTTACGATCTGATGCCACCCCCTAAATAATCCCCTACCCCCTTTGTTTAGTTTGGAAATTTTTTAAAAATTTCAGGGAATCTTAATTTTAATTTAGAAAATATACCGAGGTCTCTCAATCAGATGAACTCCACTTCATCTGCCCCACGTCTTGGGCACGAACGGCAAAAGAATTTAGAAAATAGTTTTAATTAATTGAAATTTATAGTTCGCTACACATTTCATCCCTAACGACATCTATATTTAGACACTTGGAAACAACCAATCGCTGACGCCCTGGCGAAACTACGGAGCAACGTCACAGAGGATGTTGTGAAAGAATGGGTGGAGCGCGGGAAAGAAGCCGTCAGCAAAATGACGAATCTGGCCAATGGTGAGTTTTGGTTTACAAAATTTTTTTAAAATTTTTAGCTTTATTAAGGAATCAACATAAAACTGGAACTTTGGAAAAATAAGGAGTAAAACAAAGGTTATTAGATTAGGCTATAGACTCTAATTACTTAATTATGTTTTCATTAACTTAATAACAATTTCGTTAACTATAGATTACTTCTAATGAACTGTCGTTGCAAGGGCGTTAACCCATTTTAATCATCATATATTATTTTTACAGTTTGTTCTCCCTTTAATTAAACATTTTTTGTCATAATAATTTTTGCCAATTCAAATTTCGTAAACACATTTTTTTTCAGAGAACAACAATGGCATCCTCCAATAAAATTGTAAAGAAATATATTTGATCTGAGGAGCACGCAAGAAAAATATTCTAGAATGTTGAGTTTTCAAAGTGTAAAATAAAATCTTTAGATTCAACATATTGTTTGATGGAGACTTTTTCTTAAGTCCATGAAGTTTGGCTCATAAAATGTGTTTGAATGCTGGATTTATTCATCAATTAAATCCTTGATATTTTATGTAAATTGATTAACACAGAGATAGAGTGGGATCAAAAGTATTAAAAATCAGCAGACTTAATTATTTTTATAGAAATTAATGTTGTTAAGCATATTACTTTCCAATTTTTGACAAGGCAAGAAATTAAAAAAAAAAAAAACTATTTAGTGCACATTAATTTTTTATTACAAAGGCAGCAGTAGTTCATTTTAATGAATGTTTTTTCCAAAACAAAACTTTTGAAACACTGGGAAAACTTTAAAATGTTTTAAAAATGCCTTTTACACCCATTATAGTGAATGTTGTATAGATTAAAAAGAAAAACAGTTCATTTTTCATTTATGATGGGCGCTGGCCATTTATAACTATGTAGGATAACATGGCCATGTGGGCCATGTAGAATAAAAATGGCCAAGTGTAAAAAATGAATTCAAATTTATTTCAGAGACAATATCATTAAACATATAAATATGTTAAGTAAGGCAGGATTCACATAATGCATTTCACATTTAATACAATAATAAATGTAACATTTGTAAAATGATTACATCAATGTAATAACAATAATTAACATAAAAAATATAATTGTCTATTGTGTAGTTATAATTTTGCATTACACAAAAATTTCAGAAAAATCCCTTTTATATGAAGTTATTGGGTCCTTCTTCTATACTAAATGACTATTGATTTGGCCTATCTAATACTTTATTGATGTGTGATTGATGTGTGACATTAAATCTACCTTATTTAAACTAATTTATCTTACACAAAACTACCCTATCTAAGACCCATTATATCAAATTGTTTTTAAACAAAAATTCTAATTAGGATAGAGAACTGAAAAATATAATGTATTCTTATGAGTAGGGTTATATCTAGTCTAAAAGTATGCTTTATCTGTTTATGATAATAAATGATTAAAAACATATAAATATGGCATAAATTAATTGCTACTCATTATTCAATATTAGAAAATCTTGAACATTTCCAACATGCAAACAAAAACACTTTTTCAAAGCACTATCACACCGGGCTAACAATATCCTTGCATAGATTCTGTTGAAACAAATTGTAAAATTCATGAGCTTGATTGTTGCCACGATCACTTCAAAAGTGGCGTCCTGGCCGATATTCTGACACTCTTAGCTGATGTCATCCTTTCAGCTTTCCTGGGTGACCAGGCGTTGCGCAGGTCACAAACTCTCTCCAGGAAGTTCAGATCTCTGGGTGGCAGGCTGTTGTATTGTTCCTCATCAATCCACATGTAGTTCTGAGACTGTGGGACCAGACAGGAAAAAAATTATTTTAAATAAGGCGTTATTCTTAAAAGACATTGTAATACCTATTGTCAGATGTAAGTAAGGCGTCATTCTTAAAAGATATTGTAATACCTATTGTAAGATGTAAGCAAGGCGTCATTCTTAAAAAACAGTGTAATACCTATTGTCATATGTAAGTAAGGCGTCATTCTTAAAAGATATTGTAATACCTATTGTCTGATGTAAGCAAGGTGTCATTCTTAAAAGAGATTGTAATACCTATTGTCAGATGTAAGCAAGGCGTCATTCTTAAAAGAGATTGTAATACCTATTGTCAGATGTAAGTAAGACGTCATTCTTAAAAGAGATTGTAATACCTATTGTCTGATGTAAGCAAGGCGTCATTCTTAAAAGACATTGTAATACCTATTGTCAGATGTAAGCAAGGCGTCATTCTTAAAAGACATTGTAATACCTATTGTCTGATGTAAGCAAGGCGTCATTCTTAAAAGAGATTGTAATACCTATTGTCAGATGTAAATAAGGTGTCATTCTTAAGACATTGTAGTACTTATTGTCTGATGTAAGCAAGGCGTCATTCTTAAAAGACATTGTAATACCTATTGTCTGATGTAAGCAAGGCGTCATTCTTAAAAGACATTGTAATACCTATTGTCAGATGTAAGTAAGGCGTCATTCTTAAAAAACAGTGTAATACCTATTGTCTGATGTAAGTAAGGCGTCATTCTTAAAAGACATTGTAATACCTATTGTCTGATGTAAGCAAGGCGTCATTCTTAAAAAACAGTGTAATACCTATTGTCTGATGTAAGCAAGGCGTCATTCTTAAAAGACATTGTAATACCTATTGTCTGATGTAAGCAAGGCGTCATTCTTAAAAAACAGTGTAATACCTATTGTCTGATGTAAGCAAGGCGTCATTCTTAAAAGAGATTGTAATATCTATTGTCTGATGTAAGCAAGGCGTCATTCTTAAAAGACATTGTAATACCTATTGTCAGATGTAAGCAAGGCGTCATTCTTAAAAGGCATTGTAATATCTATTGTCTGATGTAAGCAAGGCGTCATTCTTAAAAGACATTGTAATACCTATTGTCAGATGTAAGTAAGGCGTCATTCTTAAAAGATATTGTAATACCTATTGTAAGATGTAAGTAAGGCGTCATTCTTAAAAGACATTGTAATACCTATTGTCAGATGTAAGAAAGGCATTTCTTAAAAGAGATTGCAATACCTATTGTCAGATGTAATTAAGGCGTCATTCTTAAAAGACATTGTAATACCTATTGTCAGATGTAATTAAGGCGTCATTCTTAAAAGACATTGTAATACCTATTGTCAGATGTAAGTAAGGCGTCATTCTTAAAAGATATTGTAATACCTATTGTCAGATGTAAGTAAGGCGTCATTCTTAAAAGATATTGTAATACCTATTGTAAGATGTAAGTAAGGCGTCATTCTTAAAAGACATTGTAATACCTATTGTCAGATGTAAGAAAGGCATTTCTTAAAAGAGATTGCAATACCTATTGTCAGATGTAATTAAGGCGTCATTCTTAAAAGACATTGTAATACCTATTGTCAGATGTAATTAAGGCGTCATTCTTAAAAGACATTGTAATACCTATTGTCAGATGTAAGTAAGGCGTCATTCTTAAAAGATATTGTAATACCTATTGTCAGATGTAAGTAAGGCGTCATTCTTAAAAGATATTGTAATACCTATTGTAAGATGTAAGCAAGGCATCATTCTTAAAAGAGATTGCAGTACCTATTGTAAGATGTAAGTAAGGTGTCATTCTTAAAAGAGATTGTAATACCTATTGTCAGATGTAAGTAAGGCGTCATTCTTAAAAGATATTGTAATACCTATTGTAAGATGTAAGCAAGGCATCATTCTTAAAAGAGATTGCAGTACCTATTGTCTGATGTAAGTAAGGTGTCATTCTTAAAAGAGATTGTAATACCTATTGTCAGATGTGAGTAAGGCGTCATTCTTAAAAGAGATTGTAATACCTATTGTAAGATGTAGTAAGGCATCATTCTTAAAAGAGATTGGCAAAAAATAGCAAAATATATAGAGAAAAACTTGAGGGGGGTGCAAATCGAAAGTTTGAGGGGGGGTGTGCAAATCGAAAATGTGAAAGTTTGGCTCCGGGAAGGGTCGCTACGCCTCTGTGGGGTGACACCATTAAGTGCCATACCGGGTGACACCGACCTTGCTACGCCACTGCTTTGTACAATGCTTGAATCAATGAATTTAAGCCTATTCTGTTATTAAACAAGTTTATCTCTCCAACATTTCAAAATTTTAGAGTCCCGAATCAGCCAATGTAATTTTGACATGTTTATTCATAAATAATTTTAAAAAAAACCCAGATGAAATAATTAACAGTTGAAACTGAGATGAATTAATAATTCTGAGCTAAAAAAAAAAAAAAATTCACTGGTACCTGTTTCCCCTTACTTTCAAAATATTTTATGGGTTTTGTAACATTGGTTTGAGTATAAGCCAAGTGCTTTAGGATATTTGATATTTCAACATTTGTGCACAAATTTGTCTGACAAAAGGATGCAAGAATTGCTGAAATTTCCTATATTTCATGTACACACACACAAAAATAACAAAGATAGATTCTTTTCTGCAGTAGTTTACCATGAATTATCTACTCACCAGCCCACTTTGCTAGTAAAAAAAGATCTATGATTGGCACACTCGCCTTTCACGAAAGTTTAATTAATATTGTTCAAATTTTAAAAAATGTGACCATCGTATATCAACATATAAATTAAAAAAAAAACATATAGGCCTACTTCTATATTTTATAATCAAAGTTTAGCAATATTGAAATTTAATGGTTAGAATTATCATTAAATATCAATATTTTCAGCCCACTTACCATTTAATATAACCTCAAAACAAGGGAGACTATAAATAAAAAGTTAATAAAAATATATAATAAAAGAAAAATTCAAATGCCATAAAATTTCTTTCAAAATGTTTTATTGTTTAATATTTAATTGAATAATAATATTAAAAATGCTTTAAAATTATTTCGAAATTATTTTTTTTTCTAGATTTTACACTTATCATTTTACTCTAGTCTAAATAGAAAACTTTCACCTTTATGAAATATTTAATTAGAAGACAATGCAAGTGTTCAATTGAAACACTATTATGACTACAAGTTTCTTTTGGCACAAAAGAATAATATTTTTATTATAAAAAAGAAGAAAGGCTGGAAAAAAAGAAAAGCTAAAGAAGCAAGAAAATCATTTTAAAAAACAAAAGAAATTTCATCAAACTTAGTCACTGACATCACCCAAGATAAACTAGATGAAGACATTGAGAGACTTCTGGTCAGTTGAAGTGACTTTAACTTGGCTATTACAAAGACAGGACAAGTTATAATAGGGAAATATCCAGAGCATCTACGAAGAGCTAATAAAGAAAGTGCTAAAAGTGTTATTGTTAGATTTTTAAAATATTATTTCCAAGCAGGCCTGATTAATTTTAAAAAAAATAACTTTGTATTCTCGATCTTTTGGCTTGGTTTAAAGTGTAGTATCTGCACTGAGGTCCTAGTAGATTTTATTTAGCCTAGCAGTTTGATTTAGCCTATTTAGAACAATGGGTCAAATCTCTATTACTGCTGTCTTTATTCCTTGAGTGTAGCGATTACGCTGAGCAATTTTGAATGTTAATATGAACTACGATTGCGTCCATACATCTCTCGATGCCATTTATGTCTTTGAGAAAAGCCACTGCCTACTTGAAGGCTATGTGGGTGGTACGTGCGGCTATGTTCAAGTTTCAGAGATGACACCTGCCTAGGAGAAATCTCTGTCACAACATCAACGAACATATGATAAACTTTACTAAAAGATTAATTAGACTTGATGATCAACGTGACTAAATAATATATCCAAACTCACGATGCATTCAACTCACAGTATACACAACTGTAGATATACTCTACCTCACGATATACCCACCTCACGGTAAACCCACCTCATGATAAGCCCACCTCACGATATACTTAACTCCAGATACTCTACCTCACAATATAGCTACCTCATGATTTTCCCAACTGTAGATATACTCTACTTCACAATATAACCACCTCACGGTATACCCAACTCAATATATACCCACCTCATGATATACAATGTACATTTTAAATAGATATTCAGAGATCAACAACAGCACTACTACAATCAACAAACTTTGATGCTTAAGAACTACTCCAGCCTATAACTAGACCACAGCTAACTGTCTCAATACTACAGCAACTTAAGAAGTCATTCAAGAAGATGACCAAGATCTTCCATAAGATTTATTTACACTTAGACATTTAAATATTAATTCTCTTCATTTTATAATAGGTACATGGAAAAAAAATGCTAGCAAGTTATATGATGCATTCCCAGAGTAAAGATCAAGATCCCATGTCCAAGCTATATAGACACAACTTACTTTGTTGATGAACTTGCAGTTCTAAGCTATATAGACACAACTTACTTTGTTGATAAGCTTGCAGTTCTAAGCTATATAGACACAACTTACTTTGTTGGTCAACTTGCAGTTCTAAGCTATATAGACACAACTTACTTTATTGATGAGCTTGCAGTTCTAAGCTATATAGACACAACTTACTTTGTTGATGAGCTTGCAGTTCTCACCACTAGGGTTGTGGCTTCATAAAAGACAGTCCCCAAGTAAAGATCAAAAGACCCCCCTGCCCAAGCTATATAGACACAACTTACTTTGTTGATGAGCTTGCAGTTCTCGCCACTAGGGTTGTGGTAGTTGATGACCCTGATCTCAACCCATGAGCAACTGTTCATTGTTGTGGGGTCGTCTAAAATTCCACGGTAAACCTTGAAACAATCAACAAAAAGACAAATTATTATGACAGAAAATACATTTTTTAAAAGTAAATTACACAATTTTAAAAGCTTATAATTATACAATGCCTCAAGGAAAAAGAAAGCGGGGAAGGCCAAGGAAGACGTGGAGGTACATGGTGGAGAAACTGCTGACAGAGGCAGGACTGTCATGGGGGACTGCCAGGAAAGTTGCTGGAGACTGACAAAAATGGGGGGAGCTTTCTGCGGCGGCCCCATGTGTCTTGGGCACAAAAAAGAAAAAGATGGTGATAAATAAACTTCTTTTGACGTTTTTACAAAACTATTTTAAGCCCTTAAGCAACAAATACCCTGGCTAACTCACTGGGTCACTTCTCTGACAGTTGCGGACAGTTTTCTTAATCTTTTTAGATTTTTTCTTCTCTTTCTGTTTGCTTTTCTCATCTTTCTGAGCCTGTTGGTTATAGTCACACAACAAGAAGTAATGAACAACAACAAGAAGTAATGAACAACAACAAGAAGTAATGAACAACAAGAAGTAATGAACAACAAGAAGTAATGAACAACAAGAAGTGATGAACAAGATATGAACAACAAGAAGTAATGAACAACAACAAGTAATGAACAACAAGAAGTAATGAACAACAAGAAGTAACGAACAACAAGAAGTAATGAACAACAAGAAGTAATGAGCAACAAGAAGTAATGAGCAACAAGAAGTAATGAACAACAAAAATTAATAAGCAACAAGAAGTAATGAACCATTGAAGGATAAAAAATAAATAACATTGCTAATGCTAAAAACTGAGTACTTTTAATTAGAGTAACTGTACAAATACATTAAAAAACAAAATTATCTTTGTTTTAATGTACACTTGTAGTCTAGAAAAAGTATATGGTCTTAGTACTAGATCAGTGGTTCTTAACCTGGGACCCAAGCGTTCGGCGAGCCAGTCTCAGGGGTTCGTGTTCTATGTAGCATGCTGTTGTTATTTCACAATGTACATAGCGAACATGCAGATTATTATATCTAAAAGAAAAATGCAATACTTAATAGATTCAATAGTCATTGTACTTACATTTTCCAAATGCGCTGGTTTAAATTTTGAGCTGGAAACTTTGGTTTTTAAATCTTTGTGTGTAATAGTACCCTTAATAAACAATGATACTAAAATTATATTAGGATAAATGTTTAAACTAAGACTAAGACAATTTAAATTTTAAATCTATGTTGATGTAAATTTTGTTTTGATCAAACCATACACTTAATATAAATAAGTATATAATTTTAAATTAAACTGATGTCACTTATGTAATATGTTAACAAATTTTTGTAAGGTTACTATTAATTTTGCAAACAACTTTAGCAATGGAGACGACAGAGTTGACGAGAATCCTTCCATAATATTATGTTGACATGGATTAAAAACATGCATTTTTTAAAGCGACCAGAGTTTCTTCCAGGCATATCTGGAAGAAAGTCTACCACCCTCCCAAACTAAATGGAATTTATATACAAAATATATACTGTTAACAGTATCCCCCCCTTCCCCCCAGGAAAAGTTAGTCACCCCCCCCCCCCCCTTTCAGAGAGAAAAGTCTGGAATAAACACTGAAAGCAACCATAAAAATAATAAAAAAAATAAAAAATTAAGCTTAAAAATAAATCAGAAATTTTATATTTTTTTAATCAATTTTTATAAAAGTTGCAAATCCAAAGAACTAGAAATAATTTTATGAGTTTAAGGCTACATTTCTATTTATTTTCATCAAGCCTAAGTTATAACTGGATGTTTCACATTCGTAAGACAAACATTGATTAGCTTTACTGGAACTCTGTGGTTGATTACTTACAAGTAGACCGTCCCTGAGTCCACTTAGCTCTGATGGGTACCTAACTCACTTAAGGGAAATTAAGCTGGGCATAGAGCAGACTACACTATCCCTTTATATGTCGAGGTCACAGAAACAGGTGAACTCTACTTCTCTTGACCCATGGACCATCAGGAACATTACATCCCCATAGTCACTTTTTGTTAGGCTACATAATGTAATTTCTTTTGTTACCATTAGTACTATAGTAGTCAGGTGGTTTGGCAGTGTGCTCGCTGCACATCATGAGCAGAAGAACATTACAAACCTACCTCACAGCAAATCTTCTTCTTCTTAATCCTGTTTGTGCCCAAGACATATGGGGCAGCTGAATTAGAGTTCATCTGATTTATAGACCTCGGCATGTGAAGGTATAGTGTGGTCAGCACTATGCCCAGCCACATTTGTTTCCCTAACATAAGTTAGGTACCCATCAGAGCTGGGTGGACTCAGGGACATTCCACTGATTTGAACCTAGATTTGAACTCTTAGGTTAGCAGTCAGCTAGACCACGCCATTCCAGCACATACCACAAATTTATTTGATACATTGACTATATATCCAAAAGAAAGTTTTATTTGTTGTTTTTTTATAAGCAAAAACTAATCAAATTACTCACGTTCTTTTCTGTTTCTTTGCTTTGTGCTGCCATAACCTGTAAATTCTTTTAAAATAAAAGAAATTAAAAAATAAACATTAGCACACAGATCTATCAGCCTTATAAACCCAGGAAAAAGAGAGAAAGCTTTTAATATGCTTAAATTAAGTAGATCCATATTCAAATTGTATTGCAAAGCTCAGTTTATTCAGCTTTTTAAACAATCATATTTAAACAAACATGAATTCCCCATGTGCATATTATATTATAGTGAATATAGTTTAATAAACATAATTTTAATTAAACCCATTCATGACCAAATAATCTTACTATGACCTTATTTAGTAGCCAAAATAGTTTTAATTCAACCTTAAATTTACAGCCAAAAAACTGGAGTCTCTAAAACTCTGATTTTAAATATGTGAAATAGTTGCTTTTCACTTAGTCAGCCATACAAAAAAATGTACCTTTTTGAAAAGCTTTGTCTTCATTGCAGTACCAACAGTTTCTTGCTGTTAAAATAAAATAAAGATCAGTTGAAGATAATGGAGTAATAATAAAGTTAAACATTATCCTTAGATAGAATACCAATATGAATATATATATATATATATATATATATATATATATATATATATATATATATATATATATATACACACACAAAATAATTGATTAAAGTTGATATTTAACTGACTATTTGCCTTTCAGGATCACTCTTGATAGCTTGTAGAAAATAAGTAAAAGGATCAACACTCGGATCACAAATTACCTGATAAACAAAATGTAATTAATTAGTTGTTGTTGATCAATGTGAACATGTGTTTAATTTAATGTGGAAAACATTTTTGCAGATAAGTTTATAAAAGCCTTGAATATGAAAACCTATTTTGAAAGAATTATCCTAAATGAATCATATTTTTTGGCTAAATATTTAATACTTAAAATGTGGGTGTTGTAATTAGTTTGAATAAATTGTTTTACTAAACAAATTAGTATTTTTATACCATGGGGAAGTGAAACTCATGACTCTCAGTAGCACTCTTTTCCACCAGAAACTCAATTATATCTCTGTTATCTTTCCTGTCTATGTGTTGGTCCTTTATTTTCAGCCTGTTAGACAATAAACAAATCTCATTACTCTCATCTTTACATTTAATTTTAAAATGTATTAAATCAGGGGCTAGCATGGTGCTATATTTAATGGCACTTTTAACTATAAAAAAGAATTTAAAATCTGTTCACATATATCTGCAGATAAAAAAATTCTTAAATAGTTTTAGCTGAAAGAATTTACTTTTAATAAACCAGAACTCAGCCAAGGCAAGTGGCTGGCCTAAGTATTTTATGGTAGCAATAGACAAAATATTCAATAGCTTGGTTACACCCATGACCCCATGACCTGTATTAGAAAGATGAACCCTTGAAATTACTTGCTTATAATCATGACCCCACAATGACTGGGACCCCTGTATTTGAACAATGACTTTAGACATTATCTCGCTACAATCATGACCCCTTGATGATTGGGACCCCTGGATTAGAAGGGTAACCCTTGACATTACCTCTTTACAATCACAACCACAGAATGATTGGGACCCCTTTATTAGAAGGGTGACCCTTGACATTACCTGGTTACAATCACGACCCCTTGATGATTGGGACCCCTGGATTAGAAGGGTGACCCTTGACATTACCTCTTTACAATCACAACCACAGAATGATTGGGACCCCTTTATTAGAAGGGTGACCCTTGACATTACCTGGTTACAATCACGACCCCATGATGATTGGGACCCCTGTATTAGAAGGAAGATCCCTGACATTACCTGGTTACAATAACGACCCCACGATGATTGGGACCCCATCTTGGCAGGCCTTGAGCTCTTCTTCTGTCTCCCCTCTCATCAGCCGGTTGCAGTTTAGGGTTAACCGGGTAACCGTCATGTGTGACCTTGTATTTACCCAGGTAGCTCCTCCGGTCAATTTTATAAACCTTGTCATATCTATTAAAGCTGAGGCTTTGCTTTTTAAAGGGGTTTAGGTAGGTGAGATCCTCCAGGTTCCTGAGATAGAATATCAGTGTTAAATATCAGACATACTGACTTGACTTAACCCATTTGATGTCCCTAATGATCAAATGGCTGTGCATTTCACATAGCTTTAATCTTTTTAGGGAGGGTTGCTGCCCCCTATGTCCAACACTGTTTCAGTCATGTTGGTACCATGTTTATTACACTGAATCTATGTGCTAGACTCAAACCAAAGCTCTAACTAAAGAGCTAACTCAAATCCTTAACATTTGCAACATCCAAGTAGAATTATTTTAAAAATTAAACAAGATTTTTAAAAAAAAGAACATATTGCTGCATGTTACAGTTGTTGGTTCCATTTTTCATACATCTCAAATATTTTATTGGACCCTTCTAAAAAAATGTAGTAGCTGCCAGTAGTTAGTAATAAACTATTAAACAGTATTAATTTGAAATTTGATGATGCGTATTCAATTTTGACACCATAAACTGAAATTATCCGACAACTTAATATTAATACCTCTCCCCAACCCTATCTTTTGAAGAGTTAGACCATTGAAAATAAAATCATTCTATTAACCATACACTACCCAAGATCTTACTTAACTACTAACTATGGTATTGCTAGTTTTTTGTAACACATCACTAAAGTCTTGAAGTAATGTTAGGGTATGGCTAACCCAACTCATCACTTCTCCTAATAGTGAACCTGCAGCAGAAAATAGGTACACAAAAGGTACTCACTCTGGGTCACTCCTGGTGTGTTCTGATGCACTGCTCTCATCGGTCAGGGTTCTGTCACTTTTTAGTGGAGCCTGTGGGGTCATTGGTGTATAAATAGTCAAAATATGGGTTCATTGGTGTTTAAATAGTCAAAATATAGGTTCATTGGTATTTAAATAGCCAAAATATAACGCTTAAATAGTCTAAATATATCCATAGTGATGATATGGATTAACTGGTATTTAAATAGTCTTAACAAAACTATACTAATAATTTGGATTAATTGGCAATTAAAAAGTCCAATATATCTTTAGTATTAATATGGATTAATTGGTGTTAAAATAGTCTTAATATAATTACTATATTAACAATATAGATTAATTGGTGTTTTAATAGTCTAAATATAACTATAGCAGTAATGTGGTGTTTAAAATATTCAAAATTAACTATGTGAACAATTTAAATAACGAAAGATAGAGGTCTGGAGTAGTTGGAGTTTATATTGAAAATTAATTAGTATAAAGCTTTAGCAGAACTACACTTACAATTTTTAGAATTAGATTTAAATTTCTGTTGATACTTTTTTTAATTGTATAAATTATATAACATTTTTACATTAAAATGAAACAAATGGTTCTGAGTAAAGGGAGATAATAATAAGATTTATGTATAATTTGGTGAGGAGTTGAATTTAAATCCCTGATCATTTCGCCCACATGCAAGACTGTTTTTCATAATTGAAATTTAAAAAAAAATGGTCTAAGTTTTTAAAATAAAAGGAGGATGTTTGTTTTAGCAAAGATTACTTTCATTAAAAAGAGATGTTGCCCTAAATAAAAATCTGTATCAATAATTTTACCCAAAAGTTGCTGGAAAAATCCTCCATGGCTGTCCAGTTGTAACTGTTCACTAAAAAAATAAAAACAAAGATCAAAACTTTTTGTTTAATATTTATATAAAAATATGAAAAATTAAGAAATTTTAAAAGTCTGTATACATTAATGGCAACATAATAGAGACACTTATCCCAATGCTACACTTGATAGTAATGCTTAGATATCTGTCTTAATGTTTAAAAAAAATAAAAAACTGATTTTTTTTTTCAGCATTTGTTAAATTTGTTAAACTAATCATAATCTAAAATAACATAATTTAATGCTTACCATCTTTCTGATTTTCTGCTTGAAATTTTAATGTATCACTAATGGACAACAAAAAAAAGCATGATGCAACATAAAACATGAATAGTGTTGTTTCAGCTCACTTTTGACTAACTATTTCAATACGATGTTGATTATATTTTTTAAAGAAAGATGCAAAGACAATAATCAGCTAATTTAAAATTACCTAATAGAGTATTTACCTGGCTTTTAGTTCTTTAATATTTTTCTTTTTAAAAACCATTGGCTCAATGTGCATTTGCATAACTTCAGCCTCCATATCATTTATTTTTGCCAGCAATTGGGGATCTGTTATTGTTTTGACTGAAATATATTCAGAAATATTTCAAGATGTCAAATATGTGAAAGACTTTTTCCAAGAAACCAACTCCTTATTTATAAAATAATTTAAAGCCCATTAGTTTTGAACAAAATTTGTGTTCTCTTTTCTAACCAAATAATAGCTCACATATTTTATTTGACGATTCTCATAAGTAAACTTAATTAAGTTTATTTAAACAATATTTTACATGGGTATTGAAACAATTAGAACTTACAAAATTGAAGATTATTCTTCCTCTCAAGCAAACGAGCTACAAGGGAGATCAGTGTAAAAGGGGGAGGCAGGAACCAAACTTGGTTGTATGCAATAGTTAAGTCTAAAATTTGCAGCCTCCAAACTTTGTCAGCTTTAGCCTGGATCTTCTCAATAGATTTCCTGCAATATGGAGTAAACATTTCTAAGTCACTAAATTTACAAGGGATTTTACAATAATGTGAACATTTTTAAAAAACAATCTATATGATAGTTATGTCTTCATTGTTACATTTCTTGTCCAAAATCACCTAACTTTAATCAGTGTAATTTTGTTTTAAATTTTTAAAGAAATTTTGTAGTGCCACAATATCTATTTAAATTTAGAATTCCTAAGATAAATCATTTTGGGATGTTAAATTCTCAGGTATAGATTTGGTCCACTAGATCAGGGGTCGGCAACCTTTTGAAGCGGAAGAGCCAAAAGTTACAATTTTCAAAATTTCCCTGGTTTTAAAGAGCCACTAACATTTTTTTATTTCAAATATTTTTTTTATTAAGATTATTAGTATTTGTTCAAGGAGCTGGAGAGCCGCATCTTGATATCAAAAGAGCCGCATGAGGCTCGCGAGCCGCAGGTTGCCGACCCCTGCACTAGATGAATCCCAGGTCCACCATATGGTGAGAAGTGGCTGTAATGAAAGCTCATGACACAGTCTCTAAACAGACAGACGTGAAAGGTAATTGATCTGCTACACAGGCCATCAGGCTATGTTACATTCAGTAAAAGTAATCATACCTATTTAAGTTACAAAAAAAAAAGTCATTCTTACGTGAAATTGGCTGTGATTAAGCTGAAAAGTAGGACATTTGTGAACATGATGTAGACACCTAACAAAATTGGTGCTATATAGCGGCCAATGTTTGAAGGACATCGCAGTTTTCTGTAGGTATTGTAGTAATCTGGATCTGTTGTGCACTCATGACCACTCAAACCTTCTCCATTTTCTAAAACACAAATGTTAGTTATAAGTCATGTATTGTAGTAAGTTGGATTTGTTGTGCATAACCATTCAAACCTAAAGATTCTAAAACACAAATGCTCACCACAAGTTATGCAGTGTAGTAATTTGGATCTGTTGTGCATAACCGTTCAAACATTCTAAAAATTCTAAAATACAAATGTCAGTAGTATGGCATGCCTATTTAAGCACTCTTCACATTCTAAACCACTATAGACCAAAAGCATAAGAGCCAAATAAGTCCTATTACTTTGTTATTATTAATGCTTTGTGTTAAAAACATGTTTTGGGCTTGCATTTGATGATTGCATAATGTGGTGTTAAACACATCCTATACAGCTCCAAAATACTCTCTGGTAGACATCCATGCAATGATAAATAACTTATAAACACATTTTCCTAAAATGAAAACAAAATTTGTACCATAAAACAGTGGTGGAAAAAAAGTTTTATGAAAGGTGCACAATGCTTAATCCTACCTTCAGCCTCGAGCTCATCCAGAAAAAGTTCCCCAAACATCTGCCAGTAAGCCTTGCGGAACAGGTAGAAGATCAAGTAACGATTGAGCTGGGAATTGGGGTACAAGATGGCTTCTGATGCTATGGTGTAGCTGATCCAAACAATGGCAAGGATGTACAGGAATATGGAGAGCTCCTGGGTCTGCCAGTTGGTACAAACAAAAACTAGAGTTATTTAAAATGAAATTAAATTGTAATAAATATAGTCCAGTAGAACACAAAATTATTTTTCTCCCTTATATTATTTTCACTTTTCATGTTCATAAATAATACATACAAAATGCTATACACAGTTGACAAAATACATGTTGAAAAAAATAGAAACATAAATAGAACTGTGGTACTTCAAGCTTAATCATACCTCACCATAGGGTTAAGCTTAGGTTTAGATTGTTGATTTGATTGTGATTTAAGTTACAGTTTTCTAAAAGAGGATAGAAAGCTATTTAATGTGATATGGCTGCCTATACTAGATATACTAAAGGCAGACTTACAGTTTTTAAAATCATGACAAAAGTTGGACCAAGGAAATCTACTGAATATGGTATGTCTGACCGTCTATACGAGATAAAGGCTGACTTACAGTTTTTAAAATCATGACAAAAGTTGACTAAATATGGTATGCCTGACCATCTATATGAGATAAAGGCTGACTTACAGTTTTTAAAATCATGACAAACGTGGGACCCAAGTGTGAGCTGCTGTAACAGTTGTGCAGAAGTCTAATAGTAAACATAATAAAGTCAAAACACAGCAGAACTCTGGCAAACTCAAAGATATCAGAATCTGTAATTAAACAGAACAAAATCTGTAATGTAAATAGAAGAAAATCTTCAGTAGAACAAAATCTGTAATGTGGTAGAACAAAATCTATAATGTAGTACAGTTACAAAGAAAATTAAGTAAGTCTAGGGTAATACCATTTTCATTTACTTAAGTTTTTGTTTGCTATACCTAGCTTATAACTAAAGATTTCATATATTGTTATGGATTTCTTTTATTTTAACAAAAAAAAATATTTTTTTTCTGCTATGGTTTGGCCTACCTGTTGATTCAAAAAATGAATACACCCTTAATCCAGCACCAATAAAAAACAGCGTGATAGAAACCAAATCAACCCAGTTCCATCCACTTGAATAAAAAGTTTTCAGCTTTAGCCAGAGTTTATTCCCCTGCCAAAAGTCAATAACAAAAAATAAATTTACTTTGGAAATTGGAACCTTTTTTATTCTCTAAAATAAATAGAAACAAAAAAAGATAACTTGAATTTTGAATGTAGTCTACAACAATTTTGGGCTAAGTAGTGTCCAAATAATTTTTTGACTTGCCACTTATATAACATCATAACAAAGTAAACTTAACGAAGCCTGTCACTTATATAGGTACCATCATAACAAAGTAAACTTTATGAGACTAAGAGCTGAAGTTGTGTTCCGAAATGCCACCCCTTTTCTCCCCAGATATAAATTAAATATAAGGAAAGTTGCTGATGTTCGGAACAAATTTAATAAGTTGGGCTATAATTAGTGAATAAAATTACATGTGGGATAATTATTTTATCAAAGCAAAAATAAAAAACAGACCTTATTGTCAAAAGCTGGTTCTGTGTAGTAGAACTAGAAACGAAAAGAAATGTAGGCTTTTAACTAAATGAGTTGCAAATCAAGTTGCATAATTTAATGAATTTCACATAACAGAGAGCAACAGTGTCACACATTAGAAAACAATTGTTGCCTTACCTCCATAATTTCCTCAGCCAGCTCAATGACAACATACACCAACAAATAGACCTCCAGCCAATTAAATGTTGCACGATGCAACTGGCCTAGCATAAGCTGGCCAAACATGTACACGAAAATAAGAAGACCGATCTAGAAAATAAACATGCATTCAAGAGCAAATCTTAGACAAACAGTGAACAGGATGAACATAAATTAGTTAAACCCCTTTAATTAGAAGAAAACTGGTTAAAGAACAGATCTTTTACAGGATAGATACAAATAAATTACAGATCTACTACTACTTTTATGAACAATTACAAGCATGAACTTAATGTAACTATAAACTGCTTCAATGTTGGTTAATAACTTTAACTATTTAATCCTTGATAATAATGTAATTAAGACAAAAACTTTCTAACATATTCCAGTCAATATAGCACTCTATTTTTTTATATATTTAAATAACAAAACATTATTATGTAATCTATCCTTTGTTATTTAAACTAATTTAAACTAAGATACATTATTTAACTTACCCCACTAAATGCAAACATTATCTTTGGGTAACATAGGAGTAGGTAATATTTGTCTCTGAAATGAAAAAAAAAATGAAAAAGTTGTAATTTACAGGTTAAAAAAAAATTATCTTTAGAAAATATGTTTATTTGTTGACAACAATTATTAATATTGTTATTTTTTCTCCTATTATCATGGAAAACTAAAAGATCATGGCTCTGTTATATAATTATAAACTTACAAATTTGCACAATAGTTTTCACCAGAGCTTTTTGTATCCTTCTGTAAAAAAATAATGCAGTCACAGACACTTAAGATTTGGTTTTAATTATGATGATATGGCTTTTAAAATTTAATTCATATTTTTATAATTCCTTTATAGATTGTATTCATTTTAATTATCATAAGTTTTCCTATAGCTGTAGTTTATCCTTTAAGTTAAACAATTGTAAGACAGCTGACAAATTTTTAAACCGTTCTATACAGTGTTATATACTAAACAAAGAAAACTGGCAGGGAACTGACTAATTTTTTAAACTGCTCTTTACAGCTTTATATACTAAACAAAGAAAACTGGTAGAGAACTGACTAATTTTTAAACTGCTCTATACAGCTTTATGTACAAAACATAAAAAACTGGTAAGGAACTGACTAGTGAATCATTGCTCTCTTCAGAGAACTCCTGTTGTGAATTGGCAGCTCTAGCATCCTGTGTCTTGGACTGGTCCCTGGAGATCTCCTTATAAAAGTCCCAACTGTTGCCCCAGTTCCACAGATGTTTCTGGAGGTTGATGCTGGCGGGCTGGATCAGGAACTCTCTGTTGTGGGACAACAGAGCAAACTCGATGCAGGATTTGTCGTTAAGGAGCTCCATCCTGCTGGAGATCATCTTAGATGTGGTTGAGGGGTCTTTCTCGTAGCAAGCATTGACTAGTGCTACGGCCAGCTCTTGGTATTCTCTGGAATTTCATAAAACATTTTTTTGTTTTTCAAAAGATGCTGTTTCAGTTTAATGTTTAAAATGTTACACATTGTAGGCCTATTTGTTATGGAATCAACATCTTACAACAAGTAGACAAACTAACATAGTGCTTTATTATCTGAATTGAGGAAATTACTCAACATGTTTGTATGAAGTTCCTAGCCATAGTTTTTTTATCATCATGAGAATACAAATACTCTAATGGATTTCATCTTAAATGTTATTTTTCATAATGCCCTTTTAATCTTCTTAATTGCGGTCAGAAACTACATATTTGAACCAGAAAGAATTAAAAATAAGTTAATTTATACACAGGAAAACTCTGTTTTTGTCTATCACATTTTTTTAACTTACCGAGCTCCTTCTTTGATGGCCTCACTCCGCAAGACATTTTTCTCTTTTTTAGCCATTTTTTTCAAAAACCTGTAGGCCAACAAGGCTGTAGCTAATGGGTGCTGCAGATAAAGATTGGTGTAAACATTGTATGTGTAAATAGCCTTTATCTAAATAACAATTTTAAAATTTGTAAGTGTAAACAGGTTTAATCTTCATAGCAGTTTATAAAATTGTATGTGTAAACAGATTTAATCTACATATCAATTTAAAATATTGAATGAGTAAACATATTTCATCCACATAACAATTAAAAAAAGGGTTTTGACACCTACCGTTGTTTCAGTCCAAAATAGAAGAGACATTTCTAGGTTGTTGGACACAAGCGACTGACGGAACAGGTGATCAATTATGTTGCAAGCATCTGAACAATATCCAAATGTGTTTAGAAATGACTAAAAAAAACCATTTAATAAATCATCCTAAAATTATAACCTAAGCACATATTAAATTTTATTTCATAAAATATAAAAATTTATTGTTTATTTAAATTTAAAATAAAGTGTAAAGAAAAAGATTTTTCAAGGACATTATGAAACTGAATTTATTCGGTAAAAAATACCTTCATTGTTTAAAGCTGCAGCTTGCCAAAGAGTATTTTTGTTAAAACTCATTGCACGTGAATCAGACATAATACTTCGTCTAACGTTGAGCTGCAGAAAATATTAAAACTCAACATATGGTTGCATTAAGTAAAATATGAAAATATATGACATGACAATCTGGCTATGCTATCAGTATTTGAAACAAGTAATGCAAAATTTGAGAGTGCTGGTGTCAGTACTGAATTATTTTGTAATCAGACCCAGAGGCATAGCGAGGGGGGGGGGGCGGGGGTGGGAACATATGTCCCAAAATAGGTTGGAAAAACAAATTGAAAGTCTGAAGGGTGGTGCAAATTGAAAGTTTGAGGGAGGGGTGCAAATCGAAAGTCTGGGGGGGGGGGGGGGGGGTGCAAGTCGCCGGGAAGGGTCGCTACGCCTCTGATCAGACCTATCAATCATACTTACATCATTGGCGATAGCCCTGAAATCTCCATGTTGTAGAAAATACTCAATAAAATGAACTTTGTTTTGTGCAAATGCTGACCTCAGCACAAAAACACAATCCTTGCTCTAAAAACGTGAAACAATGTACACAAATTATAGCTTAAAAATTAGTCTTATATGATTTTCAGTCACTCACAAAAAAAAATGTGTTATGTGGTAATATAAAAAGGCCAGTAAGAGCTATCTATAATATTTTAAGCTTTAATTTGTATAAAAGTTTGCATAAAATTGCTTCTTAAAAGGAGCCAGTGACTGAATTTTTTGGTTTTATAGTCTTAAGTATGTTATATAGCTATATTTTTAAGTACTAGAGATGAAATTAAACAATTAAACTTATTTTCTAATTTAAATATTGTTATTATCATATACTTGTTGGTGTATGACATGACATAAATTATTCCTCTTAACACAAACTTTATTCAAAAATACTATTTAGATTATTAATTTTCTTTCAATTGAAAAAGAACAAGAAAGTAAAATACATTTCTTACATTGTAGCCAGGCAAAAAAATATATTTAGAAGCTTCCCTGATGCAGTCAAGATCTACACACAACTTCAACAACTCTGGATTTCTTTTGTCACAGCCTGTAAGAAGATATTAAAACTTTACATACATTGTTTTAGATATAATGTTAGCTAATTTATTATAAGTTTAAAAAGTATTCTAAATACAGTTACTCCCTAAATTTTTACAATTAGGAAATATGTAGTTCCCAAAATTATAAATATTATGATAAATAATACCATTAAAAATTGCTTGGATGATAGCTCTGCCAAGGCCAAGGTCAGAAAGTGAAAGATCTGGTTCAAAAAGAGTGGCATTTTGACAAATTTCTTTTATCCACTGCATGCAGGTTTTGTCATCTGAACTCAGATCTCCATTCTGACTTGAACTATTGCTGTACACAGTCAAAACTACAGACTTTGTAGAGGCGCGTTCATCTTCTAGGCTTCCATAATCTGCTGTTTTATTGGCATCTACTGTGTTAAGCATGTCTATTATGAGCCTATCATTTCTGTAACAAAATTGTAGTTGCATTATGAATTACCTTTTAAAATATGTATTAAATGATAAAACTAAATTTTTTATAATTTTTTAATATTTGAAAACAAACATGTATTTACATTCCCTGAGGATCATGTTGAATGGCATAAGCTAAGACATCTGCCAAGCCACCTGAGCCCTGTGGAAGACATAAAACATCATTCAACATGACTTTATTGAAAATAGCTAAATATTTCATGCTCAAAATAATACAAACAAGTCTGTTATATTAATTTTATAAGTAAGGGTTAGCTGGAAAAGTTATATTTGATGTTTGTTTTGATCAATATTTTTACAAGTATATTCAATAAGTTTTAATTTTTCAACAAGTAGACCTCCATACTTAGAAAGCTCTCAATTTATGCATACATAGATTTAGACAGTAAAGAATACAGTTTTACTTTTACTATGAGCATATGCTTCCATTTATCTTTGTATTTGTTAAGCTGCTTTAGACTTTCTTTTGTCCCCGATGCTACTAGTATACATTCATTGCACTTTAGTTCTGAAAGTTTACAAGATGTTATAAAAATTATTTTTAATACAGAATCTATAGATAGTCTATTGGAAGTAAAAATATCATTATCAGTATCTTTTTTAAAAAAGGTAAGTCTACATACAATATTAGGTAACACCAGATATAAAATAAAGCCTAAACAAGTTAAAACATAATTTAAGTGATGGCTTAAATCTATAAACTTAATTCATAAGTATTAAACCAGGACAGGAATAAATCAAAGTACATTTTACTTAATTCTGATTTTAACTGTTTTTAGTAAAAATCTGGCTAGTGCTCCAGCAGTAATGTCCTTTCGTCTTATAAAATGTTATGCATTTGTAAGAGGAAATTTTAGCGCTAATACCAGTCAGTCTATGTGAGGTCTAAATTTGTTATTTTATTTCCTAATTTGTCAAAATATGAAAATATATTTAAAAGGAAATGCAGGTAAACTAAAATTAAATTAGAGAACCTTTTGTAACAGATTCGATCTTCTTGCTGGTGAGACAAACACAGCTGTATGTTACTTTGGGTGGCCAGATGTATTTGTCCTAAAAAGGCGAAAACACAGATCATTATCATTAAAGATATTGAATCAGTTTTGATATAAAGCTCATGGGACCAGTTCATGTTGATTTTTTGACTTTTTTTCTTTTTCGTGCTTAATTTTAGTGTTTGATTGGATTCCTTCCAACACAGTCAAGTATACGTGTCAACTGGTTGTGCGCCATTGACTCCGCTTTCAGTCTAGTTGTTCTCCAAGAAGATAGGCTGCCCCCTTGTTAACGATCCTCATCTGCCCGAGTATTCGAACTCGAGATTTTTTCGGTTAAGCAACCACGCTGACCCCTATGTTAACTTTTTATTTTAATGCTAATGTATCTAACTAGAATCTAATTAACTGTTTTTGGGGGTAAAATGTATTTTTCTAAAAGTAGTTTTAGTCTTAAAATTGCGTAATGCACGTTTCTATAGATAGGCCTAGCTATCACGCGAACAACACTCACGCAAACACACTATCAGGGGCGTAGCGTGGGAGGGGGGCGGACCGCACCGGGTGACACCATTTAGGGGGTGACACCACGGCACAAAATAGCAAAATATATACTGAAAAAGGATAATTCCACTTAATTAAGTGATTAATTATAGTGTTAAATAGTCGTTTAAGATCAAACTTGACATATCCTTACAAGGGTGGAGGGGGGGGGGGGGGGCTGACACCAAGACGTAAACCTGCTAATGATAGAGAAAACATGCTACGTCAAGCTGTATTTATAATCAACTATAGATAAAAGTCGTTAGTATTATATCTAAGCACTGTTTAAAGCTATTGCCGTGGGGGTGGGGGATATTACATAAACTCAACGTTGCAAAATATGGTTGAGGTAAACGGTTTGTTGAGTATCGTAATAATTTATGTGTTAATCCATGTATGGGGGGGGGGGGGGGGTGACACCATTAAGTGCCGCACCGACGCCACTGCACACAATTACACATATAATTATATAGCCTAGATCACAGAAAACTACATAACCTCGAGGTCTAGGTCATCACATTCACCCATGTGTTTTTTTAAAAACCTGACGGTTATTTTGTATCTTACACTTAAAAATTACATTATTATTAGTGTGTTACATTTAGTATTCCTTATTTAATTTTAAATACCTCTGGAAATAGAAGATCCTGATGATGATCCCGTAGGTCTGGGAAAGGCAGGTTGGAACTTTCTAGAACAACTTTATCCTCGTATTCGCTCATAATCCAAGCTCCTATTATACATGTTTTGAAATTATACAACTTTTTCGCCAATACATTGATAAACATAATAAAAGTTAATTTGAAAACTAAATTACAATAACTCCATAAAAGTAAATGTTTAATAGATTCGTATGGGGGAAAAATGAAGATTGAACTTTGATATATTTTTTATTAATTTATTAGCAATATATCTAAAATGACTAGTTTTATCTTTGTATGTTTTGGTGTTGTTTTTTTTTTTAAAGTTCTCCACGATTTATCTACCATGTATTGTTTTGTGGTTGGAGGGTACGGTTATTATAAATGCGGTGTAAACATATTTAGTATATCCTTTACGAAACACACCCTACGTCTTAAGGAATACACCCCCACCAGCTTATTACTTAGCCTACCAATGTTTTGAATCAGATGGATCAGACGCCTCCTCAGCGGGGGTTGAAGGAGGTGAAGGCCACCCTTGCCTAGAATGTCAGTGGTAAAAAAATTAAATTAAATGTTAACTTTGCATTTACTTTCATTTGCAGTTATGTGTAAACATTTTCAAGTTCGTAATAAATTCACTTGTTTTGTTTGATTGTCAGAATGAGGCAATCGTAAAAAGGTTGTCACATGTAATAATTCTTAGCCGTTTTAATACTGCACATTAACAAACTTTTTTCACACCTTCTCCAATTTTACTCTTTCGGTGTGTTACCAATTCACCCATTCTCTTTTTCTACTTGTCTGTTCACTTTCTCACTAAAAAATAACCACATTCGAGCCTCACTTATGTCTCACCTTATCACTTTCATCAGAATACATCACAATACACCCCCGTCTCACCATCTACCCGTCTCACCCTCTTTTACTCTCACCCTTTCACACTCCCAACCCTTCCCACAACAAGATGAGTAAATAATTACGACATCAAATATATTTAACATACCCGTATAAGACAGAGCAAATTTCATGTCATTTTTAGTCAATGCTTTCTTCTCCGCCGGACTCGAAACCTGTCCGTTACCGCCGCCGTTTTGTTTTGGCTGGATAAAACTTGGTTCTCGTATAGATTTAGTATCGGCTATGACGTCATCCGTGTAGGTGGTTCCCAGAAGAGTAATGACCAGCTCAGGACGGTCAAAGCGGAAACCGTCCAAAACATCACAACACTGACCCTAGTGGACAGACGAAATAAAGTATTGGCACTTCTAGGAGCAGAGACACGGAGAGTCTCCATAGCTGGTACGGCAAAGATACAGACCTTCATGAACAGATGCCTTAGACAGATTTTGAAATTGAGGTGGCAGAACAAATGCCAAATATGGAATTGTGGAGAAAAGCAAGACAGGAGCTTATGGGTGTGCAAATAAGAAGGAGAAAGTGGCGCTGGGTGGGACACATGCTGCGAAAGCCTCACCCAAATGTGATACGTCAAGCGCTTGAGTGGAACCCCCGGGGAAAGCGGAAGAGAGGGCGCCCAAGACAGACCTGGAGGCGAAGTCTTCTTGAAGAACTGAAGCCAATAGGGATGTCTTGGGAGACGGCAAAATTAATAGCCGGGGATCGAATGAAATGGAAGGAAATGGTAGAGGTCCTGTTCCATAAGGAGGAAAGAGGATTAAGTCAAAGTCACTTCTAGGTTCTAGGCAGCTACACATCGTGTTAGGATTTGCTGGTACAATCACTATCAGAGCATTATAAGGTAACACCGTGTGGCCATAACAAATTAAATTTCCTCTCACCCTTTTCTCCACTAAATGAGACTGGCTGAATTTTCCGCTGGCGTTTTTCCATATGACTTCATGCTTGCTGAATATTAATAAAGATACACATTGTTTTTAAAATGTGAAAATGCTGTTTTCAATTTTTCAAATAGGCCAATTATGGTTACTTAGGACTATGCAAAAAATGCGACTAGTTTTATAACTTTTTTTTTTATTTTTGAAAAAAATATTTAAATTTCGAAGACAGACTTAACATGCTAGAATAAGAAAAATAAAAAAAATAAAAAAAAAAAAAACGTATTTTTAAAACATTTGTTTCTTATTTTAAAAATACGATTGTGAACTGTTTAATTACAAACACTGTTGTGTTTAGTAATATTAAACAGTAAATAGTGTACTCACTTTCCGATCTCTTCTCCGTACGTTGAATCATGTTCATGGGGGACTGTGACCCTCAGTAAGTTTGATGCTTGTCTGTTGTTGGCGATCAGTGACCTGGAACTGATGTCGTCGTGGTATTAATTTTAACGCGGGTTCTAATTTTTACTGTGTGTCGTACTTTATTCAAATGTTTTACTTACCTTTTTGTCTTTAAAATAGGTTTTGTTGGGTGTATTTGCTGTTTGGTCTGGTAAAAAAAATAGCAAAGCACTAAGATTATTCTAATTGTTTAAACTATACGTTAATCATCGATACTTAGATGTAGTGAGAGTAGCAAATTTACTACAACTCCCATCCATTGTATTTGTATTTTAGTTATTCATTTATCACTTGTTATTTGGAATATAATTCCTCAGAGAGTGTTAAAACCTGATTTCATTTAATAATTTGAGTAGTGTTTTAGGAGTTCTAAATATCAACATAAAAGAGAATATAAATTAACTAATTTACCTTTTACATCTGTAAGCTTTTATACAGAAACAAAAATCTATTTAATTTATCAAAATGTAAACATTTTAGTACATAGAAGTTTATGCGGTATCAATTAAAACAGGAGAAGATATAACAAAATATCAAGGATCTATATAGTTTTGGTATTTTAAAAATTAAATGATGTCAAATTTATGTGAGTAGACTGATTATAATTTTCAAGCGTGTTACAATTTTAATGATTTTGATCTACACAAATTACCAGTTTATAAACGCCTGGGTTGGGGGTGGGGTCATGCGACCCTCTTTGATCTTTATTTCTGCGGCCACTGGGAGTACCATCGCAACTTACCTTACTCATTTTCTTTCCGTCGCCACAGGTAGATTGTGATTTTGTTGACAAACTCCCATACGTCCTTCGACTCTACCAACTGTCTGTCAAGAAATATCAATATTGACAGATAGTGTTATTTCAACGCCGAAGGTAGACACAGGTACATGGTAAACTGAGAGAGGCAGTGGTCGAGAATTATTATAGTTAAAACAACGATACTTTTTTACGTTTTTAAAGTTTGACAAATGGGTTTTAATCATCATTTATACAATTTTAGATCGCATGGCAAACCTTGGATAGGGTGGGGTAATCGAAGTCCACTGTGATAATATTCAAATGGAAAGCGGCAATACCCAAATTGAATTTTCTAATATTACCGCACCGCTGCTCATCTAGATTGTTCCCCTTGCCCCGGCAACTCAGCCCAACACTTAAATTACGTCTCTAGCTTTCGTTCATTACTGAGCATTCATTTAAATATTAATATATAACCCAACTTTTCCCCTATTTAGTCTTAAAACTGTGTCTAAATCTTCAAACTTTAATTAATTTCATCTTAATTTGATGATTGGTGTAAAAAAAGCTAGAATTTCTAGTAGACCTGTAAAATTGATGTAACAAAAAACAAAACTTATAGGTTTAGTTTTATTTTTCCTTGTGCCATCATCATCATTTGTAGGGACCTAATATGGAGCATAGGGACGCAACACACCCCTCCATCGTACTCAGTTGTGGGCGATTCCTCCAAGTTTGGTCCACGATATTCCAGCTGCTACTGCCTCACTGAAAACTGATCTTCCATGTTTGATTTGGGGATTCCTTTCCTTGGGGATTCCAATCTAGTTTACGTGTGCCCAATCCATCCTGGTTAGCGCTTTTGTATTTCTTTGTCAATAGTGTCTAGCACAGTTTCAGAGTTTCTTCCAGGCATCTCTTCGGGGGGGGGGGGGGGGGCGAAGCCCCACACCCCTCCCCGCCCCCGAAAAAATTCTACCGCCCCCCCCCTCCGCCCCCAAACGAAATGAAATTTATATAATTTATATAGAAAATATATACTTTTAACAGTGTCAGCCCCCCCCCCCGACAATTTCAAGTGCTCCCCCCCCCCCCCCGGAGAAAAAAGTTTGGAAGAAACACTGCACAGTTGATCTCCACAGTTTTGACCCGGTAATGTTTTCAGGCCACCTGATGTTCAATATACGACGAAGGCATTAGTTAATGAATGGTTGAAGTTTTTCTTGTGATAAGCTATACGTTTTTCCAATTTGGGAGGAGGGGTGATGGGTGAGGGTGTCAAGTTTAAGGCATAGTTAATATATAGGGATATATAACATAAGTTATATATATATATATATATATATATATATATATATATATATATATATATATATATATATATATATATATATATAATCGGATATATATAATCGGACTAAATAAATGGGACCGGGTATTAGAGGCCTACATTATTATCCGTTATTCATGAAGTTATTATCTTAAGATTGCTAATCACTTGTTGCCAACAAAGCCTTTTAATCCGTACTTACAATAATAGACAACACAGCATTAATTTAATGTGGGATTTTCCCAAACTTGTGTATACCTATGTTCTTTACCTAACTACGTTTTTTTTTTTACCGCTGTCTACAATGGCATGGCGCTCCTTCGTTTTACGATCGATATTTGCACACGCTTCAAAGGTTTTTGGAATGCACCAGACTGTGTCGTTTAACGTGCATTTGAATGGAGCTTAAGTAAACGTAAACATTCAAGTGCCATTTGACCCAATACAGTTCATATATCGATCTAGTAAATAACCTAATTAGGTCAAGGAACATGTATCGTATGTGTATTATATTTTTTTAATTATTTTTTTCTTCTAATCTTTCAAAGAGTAAAAATAAAACTTTCATTTACTGCATAATCAAAATAAAAATAAAAACCCCACTAAAAACTAAAAACAAAGTACTTTTAAATAATACCTTTATGATAGTTGTTTAATATCCAGAGTAGCTTTATGAACAAGTCATACAGTCTACCACCCCTCATCAGAGGCGTAGCGACCCCTCCCGGCGCCCGGGGCGAACTTTTAGTTTGGCGCCCCCCCCTCATATATATATATATATATATATATATATATATATATGTATATATATATATATATATATATATATATATATATATATATATATATATATATATATATATATATATGCGTGTGTGTGTGTATGTGTGAGCGATAGTCTAGAAAAAAAATTAACAGTTACGCTGATTGTCGTTCCCTAAAACTTCTTTAAAAATAATGATTAGTAATGTCAGAAAAAAAAAATTAAAATTGTAGCGATGCTAATTCGTTTAGCACAGTCTTTTCATGATTCACAATCGGACTTTGTCTGTGTGGACGATACAGCTATTAAGAAGGGTTCGGTGATTCCAAAAAGTCAAGAACCACTGCGTAAGGTTTAGAAGGTGCAAGCTTATTTGATCTACTTTTGGGCGTATCTTTAGAACGATTTCGATAATTGTAGGCCTATATTACAATTTTGAATTATCAGTTAAGTTGAACAAAGTAATAATCAGTACAATATACTAATCTTCTTCTCTCTTAAAATTTTGGTAAAGAGTATCGTTTTCCACCACCCGCTCCGACAGTCTGCTATTTTACCGATCGGATAGCGATACAAATATCCGTGATATTTATTTCTCTTTAATGAAGTGATCCAGGTAAGATGTGATGCAAAACTATCTGATCTCTCACACTGAAGTTGAGAGAATCGCAAGAATCGTACAAAGAACTAGTCAAAACTGGGTAGTGAAATCGTACATTAAGTGTTAATACAATTGATTTCTTTTCTATGTGTTAAAAGAGTTATCTAGTAAGCGATCCAGTACAAATCCTTGCGATTTTTGTTGGTGATAAGTGCCCCACCATCTTGCACAAAAATGTTAGAGTGGATTTTAAATGTCACTAACTCTTTTTTTTGTTACACAATCGTAAAATACGCTTTGGTTCAATGTGTTTCTTTTCTGAGTGATATCGGTTATTTATTCCTTAATCCGGTGTAAATTGTTCCGATTTTAGTCTTCAAAAGGCGCCCCCCCCCATCTAGGAAAGCTGGAAAGCGGTTTTTCCGGTCACTATTTCTTAAGGATATACGTTTTACAGTTACACACTCAAGGTAGAAAACAGTTAAATCAGTATGCAAGGGCTCTCTGCCGTTAAATTTCTTTACTTTGACTGTTTATAATTCAAAACTGCAGCTTAAAATGAACTTTAAAAAAAAATTCTACCCCTTTTGGCGCCCCCTAGGGTCGGCGCCCGGGGCGGCCGCCCTCCCCTAGCTACGCCTCTGCCCCTCATTGAGTCATATACTAATGTATTTTGGTTGATTGCGTTTTGTTTAAAACAATTCCTAATTAGTATAACATATAAAGTCTTGCTTCCGCCTAACATCTTCGCCAGAATTATGGAAAGAAAGTTTACATTTTCATGTTAGACAAACTCTTAACTTGATTACAGCACCGCTCCTATCACTAAAGTTTTTAACAACGCGTTTTTAATAACTTTACTGTCAAATGTTATTATTTAACTTGATTATAAGTAAATCTATGATTATGAGATATAGTTTCTCATACAAAGCAAAAAGAATGATCTCGTATGGAACTTTTACCATTTGAAATTTAAAATGTTCTGTGCAAATATTAGTCAATAATTCAGTTGAGTATAAGGTAATGAAACCACGTGCCACATATTAAAGTGCCTAAGTCCAGACTTCATTAGGTAATTAAACTAAAACGTGTGTCTAATTATACTTTACCTGAGTGATCTTTCCGCTTACACACCTAAGTAGATTGAAACATATTCCATTTCAACGTTTGAAGCACACATTCGTATGTGTAATTTGTTGATCTGCAGTTCTAAATTAAGCAAAATATTTCTACACAAACGAGTGCCCAAATCGTGGGTGTAAAACTAGCCTCAGACAAATAAACTTCATACGGTAGCCTATATTTGAATTCTATTGTAGTTAGGTAAATAGTCGTTTCTAATGCACCCAAACCAGGGGACTCTACCCCCCCCCCTTCCCGGAGTCAATCATGCGTGGAGGCGATATTTGACTGCCAAATATTATGAATGGAAATTCACGTAACGGAACGCCTGTTGAGACTTGTTAAAGTTCTACAACTCTAGTAACGTCAATATTTTATGTTGTTATTTCCCCTGTTTGTTTTAATAAAACAAATGTATACATTGGTTAACATACATTAGTTCTTTCATTCTTCAATTAATACTAAATAAGTGTTCGCGTGCGTTAAGACATGTATGAACAAGTGTAGGATTTTATATATATATATATATACGACATGCGCCAATCTGTGCCTTTGGAGAGTAGGAAGGATCTTAGCATAACAAAACAAAAAAAAACAGATGGTGTTTATATATATATATATATATATATATATATATATATATATATATATATATATATATATATATATATATATATATATATGTACAGAGTTTCTTTCAGCCATCTCGTCGGGGTAGGGGTGCTGTAGGAAGTGCCTCTTGAATCACGTTAACCTCCTCCTCCTCCCCCCCCCTTCCTTTCACCCGCACCGGACAAAGTTATAAAATATATATAGACAATAAATAGAAAAAAGAAAATGTAACTATATATTATATATATATATATATATATATATATATATATATATATATATATATATATATATATATATATATATATATATATATATATATATATATTCACAATACTCATATATGTACACCAATAAAAGCATTATTCCCCAATATAATTTATCACTGTACAACAACGTATTTTTGTTAAATTTAAATACTTTATTATATAAACACAGGAAACTACATTTCAATCAGTATATATAAAAATATCAACAGGCTTTTATTGTTTAATTAATGTCATATAAATAACAGCCATCAATTTGTGTGGCCAAAACAGCCCACTGGTCTAATACAATAACAATCTAGAACATGTCAAGTAACAAAGGGTAAAAACAAAGTACATTGTGTATCAGGCATACAATAGTCCCATAATTTAAAAACAAATGTATCGGTAATGTGTAAACATGACAACTTTATATGTGGTGAGTGCTTAGAGATTAGATGTTTAGTAGTGTAACACATGTACAAACATCAGATACATTTTAATGATTTATAGACGATACGTTCTCTAGCCTATGTGTCGTATATGCATGTTCTACATATCACACAATTAGATCTACACCTCTGTCAACATACGTATATTATACACACTGGACAAAGTCCCAGACCTCACGGTGTCTATCACGACGGTAATTACATTTCTTATCTATCAGGACACTGTCCTATATATCGTAGCATTGTCCAACATTATATAGCATATTTGTGCACTCCTAAAACTAAAGCATGTTACAATTAACTCAACAGCCACAGCAATAAATGAACATGCCAATGAATGTCCTACTCCTAAAACTAAACCATGTTACATGTAACTAAACAACCACTGCAATAATAAATGAACATGACAACTGTATTTCCTACTCCTAAAACTTAACCATGGTACAAGTAACTCACCAACCACTGCAATAATAAATGAACATGACAACTGTATTTCCTACTCCTAAAACTTAACCATGGTACAAGTAACTCACCAACCACTGCAATAATAAATGAACATAACAAATGAATGCTGTAAACAAACTGCCTGTTACTTGCTCATTTCCCCAATAGTTGTGTTTTGTCCTTGGTGCAATACGGGGCGATAACTCTGATATTCAATCTCACATCTTACAAGGGTAAACGTTACTTTTTAAATGTATACTATGACTTCAACGCGTTACTTTGAAAGATGAATGATACTTAACTGTAAAGTTACAATGTTGACTTTAACAATTGATTAAATAATTTTCTTTTCTTAATACTAATTAACAATATAGAAACGCCGTAGCGATTTACCATGTGTATAATTGGTTTGCAAATTGTATCGTAAAATCAAACCATTAGATTTTCGGTTTTAAAGTTGTAAAACCATCAAATAAATTATTATTACTGTTTTAAAATTTTTAAAACAATAGAATTAATATAAAAAAAAACTGTTTGAGGACTGCTATAGATATAGTTGTTTGAAAGAAAAGAATGTTTGATTTGATGTGTCTCATTATAATAACATAACTTTTCCGGTTGCTTAAAATTTGTATCATTTAAATTCTCTGTAATCCCAAATTTATTTCAGCTCTACTTAACCCCCCCCCCCCCCCCCCCTCAGCTTGCCACTCCGATGGAAGAAAAAAAAATCCCTTTAATCATCATTTAATTACACATTTGCATTTTCAGTTGTTTTTTTTATATATTTCAGTCGTTTTTTATTAGATCTATGTATACGTAAACCATATTAAATAAATGAAAGTAGGCTACAAGTAAGAAAGAAATATTACTATTGTAAATCTGTATCAATCATCACAAGCCGATGATGAAAACTGTAATACTAAAGCGAACATGCAAGGGAAACTGACGCTGTAAATTACATGTCTAAGGCGGGAAAAAAAGCTACAGTTGATTTACCAGTTTTATAGTATAGTACAATACAGATCAATGGCCAGTAAGTTTATCACATTGGCTGCCGCAGGTTTTTTGTTTAACGAGCTGCGCTTTTTGCGCTTTTTGCGCTTTTTGCTCTGTATTCGTATTTCTTGGGTGACCAGGCGTTTCTGATGTTACACACCAACTCCAGGTATTCTTGGTCCCGTTTTTCTAGCTTCAAGTACTCGTCTGCACTGATCCAGGAAAACTTTGCGTTCTGAACAGGTGAAAAATAGGTATTGATAATCATAAGCCTATGATAATCCTGATGAGTTTCCGTGCACCGCAAATGGGAACCCCACAGGACGTGGAGCAGAGTTTCTATCAGGCATCTCCCCGGGTGGGGGCACAGCCTCAGAGCACATCCGCCACCCGCCTCCCCCTCGCGAAATAAAACGATATTTAATTTATTTGGAAAATAATATACCTAAATCCGAATCCCCCCTCCCCCCTTCCCGACCCCAACCCTGAAATCTAAAGCGCACATTACCTGAAATTTTAAGCCCTCCCTCACCTCTTTGCAGAGAAAAATATCTCAAAGAAACCTCGATGAGGTTGGTGGAAAACTGAATTTCCTCCAAGCAGGTGATTCCTTTTTTTTTATTTCCTCGGCCCCTTTTATATGAACATTGTCTGTTAACTCGACTAAAATACGTTAAAATAACTAATATTTTAATGATTAGATGCTTTTTGTTTTGTCAACTGTAAATCAGGTTAAGTAAAATTACCTTGCAGAGCAAATTAACGTTCGCCTGGGTGGGGTTGTGGTAGTTGATGACTCGTACCTCTGCCCAGCTGTTCCTAGTTGTCCGTTTGTCGCTATGGAAACCGATGTAAACCTACAGAAGACATCAAAGATGATGATAATGATAATTATAAAAATAATAAGCTTTATTTTGAAACGATTACAATAGTAGGCATGGAGGCGTTTTTACACATTAGCCTCATTAAAGAAAAACAAATATCAACGACAATTAAATAGAATATATATATATATACATATATATATATATATATATATATATATATATATATATATATATATATATATATATATATATATATACATTTCTACTTTTCTGTTTATAAATGTAAGTCTTTGATACATACACATTTAATAAATAAATAATAAAGTCGTAGCTAGAGGCCGCTAGACATTAACCACCGGCTAAACACAAACCTGATCTCGCTTCTGATAATTTCGCATCATTTTTCTTTCAACAAGATTCTCATCGGGTGTTTTGGCGGCATCTTCTGGTAGAGA